AAGGTCTATACTGACTTTCAAAAACCAAAATCATTTTCTAAAAATGAATTCAAAGCGACATAGTACGTCACTATGTCAAAACATAAAATAAAATGCAAAAGGCATAATCCGTGTCAAAAGCGTAGCGGGTCACTATTCAGAGAAAAAATTGCACGATATGTCAATTTTGTGTCCTAAAAATTGGCAGCAAGATGGCGGACTGACGTGCATGTCAACCAATCCGTGTGAATGACCGTTTGACAGGCGAATGCTAATGACATTCAACGTGTGGCTCGGTTTAACTTTTGCAATTACTACAGCCTTGAAATGAAACGTTTGATAGGACGCAGTTATTTTTATGTATTTTTTGCGACGCAATATGTGAAATTTCGGTGAAATTTTGCTTCCACAGAAAGCATTAGTTGGATGGCACCCGAAAATGGAATTCGTTGAGCTTTGCATTATACTGAAGATAAATTTAATGAACTCCGACAAATATAAGCGGAGTGACTTTAAAACGTATGGATGTATGAAGCTTTGTGGAATTTAATTAATTTTTGCATATCATTTCCGATGTTATTTGTTAAAAACTCTTCAAAACAATCTATGGCCACTATCTTCCATGTAAATATAACATCACGAGGATGTAAAAGTGTGGGAGGCCCAATTCATTTTGGTGTAGGTGGTAGCTTAAATGGAAGAAAGAGAACTTCAAACATTACTAATAGATGTATTATGAAACACGTGGAGCTTCGCTCTTAGCAAAGATTTAAGCACATGGTTTATTCATGTTTATGCAAGTAAGTACACACAGTGAATATGTCGGCACGTGCACCAATGTCCTATTGATATTGTTCTAAACGGAACTCGTAAAGTTTTCCAATATCGGAGCCGGCCGTGTCGAGTGCATGCAAACAAATTGCATCTGTCGACGTCCCAATTCGTCGCTTGTCGATGAAATTTGAAATTTTTGACATAGCCCCTTTTGAAAAACGTGACGTTGTATGAAGTCTTTGTAGAATGTGTTGAATGCTCGGTTTTGGTGGACATGTTCACACAAACTTTTTGTTCGATATGAATATATCTGTCACAAGTTTTATTTAACAATAAATTTCAGTACTGGTATCAGAAAATAGGTAGTTAATTTTAAAGTACATTGTGGCTATCTACGTAAATGTCAACTGCCGCTCCTCGGAATACTGTCATCAACTTGTTGGCTGCAAGAGATTTTCTTTCTATTTCTTTTACCTATTAAGCGGTTTGCCAACTGAAAAAGGTGCGCGCTTTTCATCCCCAGCATTTAGCAACTAATTACGAAAATATTCTGACAAAGGAAATCTCTGCTTTACATAGTACAGTCGAAATAAGCGCCACCTGTAGTTTTCCTCTGATTAAGGGTGCTTTGTGCAGAGGGAGGATTTTTTGTGTACACGAGATAAAGTCACTTTGTTACACTATCTATAATTTATTCGTGCGACGACAGTTGCCCTTTCTACCGGCTTCCCCTCTATGTACCGAGCCTAGTTAGAAGACATTTTATGGACCCCTAGTAATCCCCTGACGTGGCTGAGACACATATCCTGCAGATTCTGAAAACAGGGGGAAATCAATAATAAATAAATATTGAAAATAGTAGAGGTGGATTGAATTATTTATTTGACGTTTCTCTAGGCGAGAGACGACGAAAATTGAATTGCTTAGCACTTTAGGTATGTCTGATATTGTTGTGTTGATCTTGTATATTTTCTCTGTTCGTCTGTACACTTTGAAATTCAAAAATGTCTGTTAACGTACATTCTGTACTTGTAGAGTAATACAGAAAACTAAGCCGGTCTAGGTGAGCACGTATTTCATTTAGTTAGCTTCGCGAATCAGTTTCCACTTATTCAATCAAATTCTCGTGTTCGAAAAATACTTTTTGGCAAAGCATACAATCGAATAACGGGCACTATGAACAAACTCGTTTTCCTCTTTTATTGAGTACCTATGTTTGTTATTTTCTCGTAAATATATCGATACCGTTTTGTGAACTATTTCTTTGTTTTCCTCATTGCGAATTTAAATGTTATTTGCAAAAATGTGTCGAACATTCGTATGATAATGTGATAACGTGTCACACATGTCTCTATGGTGATAAATCACATTAAACGGTTCACATAATATGGATGTGACGTATCTCGTGGCGTCCTCCAAAAACAGTCATTCGAATTAAACCAATAATATTGTTTAATATGTAAATCTCGCTTTAAAAGCGCCACCATGTTTGACGTTTTCATTTCGATTCGATCATTGGCTGTGTGTCCGTCATGTATATTGATGAGTATAACTCTGATTGGCTGAACTTCTGCTTTTGTTCTATAAAATCAATTTATCCCGCACTCAGTGAGACATTCACTTTTATGCGGATAAAGAAAATACTCCGAGATTAATTTATATTGCCAAGAATGAGAGACAAAAAATAAATAATCACGAAGACACGAAAATAATTGTAAGTTCAGACCATCAATCAGCGAGTCGGCCCGGATTGGACAGAACACAAAAACATGGGCGAGTGACCGAACAATAGATGACGCTGACGATCCGTCGCACACAGCCCAAGATGGCCGCCGCCTTTTGGCGGGAACCACTGAAGCGAATAATTGACAAAGGATACAGTCTTTGTGTGCTTGGGCCAGCTCGCCTGTCCGCCAAAATATTACCCAAGAATATTCCTAAATATTTAGATTTTTTGTTAGAAATAAGATTCGTTTTGGAAATGAATCGAGACCGAGGTCAAGATTTATTGGGTAAGCCTGGAGACAAGGCTTCTTGATATTATTTGGTAAGCTGATTAAATCTGTATTTGAAACAATAGAATAAGAACGCAAACTGTCACTACTTTATTGAACAAAGCTGCAAACACAATGGCACAGCAAATGATATTATCATCGGATAGTCTATATTGTCAGTTGTTATGCAATCAACTCGCGTACAAATAATTGTCCTATTCACATGTTCATCTCTGTAACAAGATTAGCCATTAGTTGTTGTTAGTGCTGGATCACTTGATTGAGTCATGTCACTTCGTTACCCAACAAAAAGTGGTTTGTTCATAAAATACGAGCGGGGTCTGGCCGCAAATTGGCTCCCCCAACATTGGTGAATTACAGGCATTTCCCTTATTTAGGAATAAGTGCCGTAGGACCCTCGACAATAGACTACAAAGAACATTATTCGCATGCAAGACGTCGAACGTGAATGCCTTATTTACAACATAATGGAAGTGAAAAATTTCATTTCGAACCATTTCTCTAGATGTATGGGAATTTTGTACGAGGACGAAAGGGACACATGGCATCCTTTACCATTCTCATATAAATAGAGTATTAATATTATATAGACATAATCTGATACCCACAGTTTGATGAATCACAATATCTAAACTGTACAATCTGTAGAGATTATGAATTCAGAATTGTTTTGTTGGTTTTTGTTTAACTAAAAATAAAGTACATTAGATGTCTTCCTATCCACCTATCGCCCTTAAAAAAATAAAGTATGCAATACACACTGTTCAATAAATAGAAAATATATTCAAATATTCCTTCAGTTCTCCGTAAACAATTTTTACAATTTCGTTTCAATAAAGCTGACATAGTTTCGAGATCGGAAAGTCACAAGTAGGTTCTCCAATACGTTGTCGTTCGGCGGAAACAAAGAACAACTATAAAAACTTCATGGTATTGCCATTTAAAGAGTGTATTGTAATATCAATAAAGTCGAAGTTACAATCCAGTAACGGCTCGCCTCTACTTTGTCTGTTAAATCTCAAAAACATTATGTAAGTCACACCGGCTATTCGCTCCTCTATAATTGGCAAAGTTTACGTCATAATTTCTTTATGAAATTTTCGTGCCAAATATCTTAATTAAGGGTTGAGGGACTTTCGCAATTACGCCAGACAGAACGCAGGTATGCTCAGCAACTTTAATGAATTGCCCCAACTTGCGTCACAATTCATATTAAATTGTGTACACTCGTAATGTCAGTTTGACATTAGTTTTCAAAACTGCAGTTAGTCGTGGTGTTAAAATCGTTAACTGTGCCTAATCACGCAGTTTAAGTCGTTCGCTGAAAGTTAAAGTTGATTTAGTTCGAGCTCAATATTTTTTGTCGTGGAAATTCAGGCGAAAGCGGATCGCAATTGTGTGCCGCTGCGTCACCCCACATTGTGTTATATTTTGCTTTGTAAGCGTACAAGAAAATCTGTCATAGTGAACTTTGGCCTGCCACAAACATTGGCATCCGCCTTATTTACTGTATCGCACACAATAGCAATATACGGCTGTCAATAACCGCTTCGAGCTCTTATGAAATAACAAAAGCAGATAAGATACGTATTCCGATGTCTCGTATTCTTCTCTTAATCAAACGTAACCACGTGGTAACGTATACAATGTCGTAATAGGTATATAATCTCTGGTAGTCTTAACTTGGCGTAGAAATGTTCACGAACGTATTCAGAAGATCGGCTAAGCCGCACGGTCGCGACAAATTGTCACCGCAGCGAATACCCACGAAATAAACGTGGCGGCAGTAGGAACCATTCCAACTAACTTCACCTGAAATCCTCAACTCCAAGTGCGATTAAAACCACGAACAAACATTCAGCTAACAACTATGAGTAGCGTTCCCATCGTAAAATGAACTGCGAGCCTCACACAAGGTGAAACGACTAAAAGGTTCGGGACGCACCGCCAAGGCTCTATGTGAACTGGTTACGTGTTGGCCGGCTTTAGAAGAGGCGCAAGTAATTGGCCACAATAACAAGTCGACTAACTTTTTTAGTTTTTTTATTACAGAATTTTGATGCTTATTAGTTTGGTAACAAAATAATATCTATTCTAAAACATATTATTTACTTTTATTTCGAAATATCATAATGATACCAATCTTTTTTAGAAAACTTCTTTCTTCCTAGTCTTAGGTTTAAGTGATTTAGAACCTTACCATTTACTAAATAAATACTATTTCTGTTTCAGGAACGTGGTGTACAACCTCAGTCTCACAGACCTGACGGAGCAGCGTCGGCTGGTCTGGTACTCACCAGAGAATGACGTCAAGATGTGCGTCGTCAAAGGAAAGGACGAGGTTAGTGATATATTTTTATTGGTAAATTACGAAAGAAATCAGTTCAAACTAAATTATACTATTAAAAGTCGTAATGTAAATTCTACATAACATTGTTATTCATCGAACCCTAAAGACTTTAAATCCTAAAGGTCATATTGCAAAGAAATATTTATTCATAGAATAGATTTCTTTGAAAGAAAATATAAAGAAATCGTTCAGTACATATTTCAACTCGAAAGATTTTATGTTCGTAGTTACTTGCTACGACGTAGTAAGATGCTACGAACTTCGTAGCGCTACGCATAAATCGTAGCAAACTGTTTTAATTCCAATTAAGTATTTGATATAACCATTCAGAGAAACAGTTTGAGATGTTGAAAACTAGTTAATGTAAGCTTCTAATAACTACAATCGGGTATATTATTTTAAGTAAAGCACAATGGAAGTGCGCCCGGGGCTCAATATAAATGTTACCTGCCGCCATCTTGCGGCGAATAATTGAATTTTGAACGAGTCGGTCGCGTATGAAACGAGGCCTTATTCCGCTAAACGTCTCTCTACCGAATACCGGCAAATTAAAAAGCCAATCAAGTGGAAATTCGCGCTAGACTCGCACGGAAGATGTTCCACGAGGTCGTATAACTTTATTTTAGTTCGAGTTAATGAGCGACCTCATTTCGGGATTACGGAATATGAATGTGAGCGGGGAGCCGGAGTATATGGTGGCAATAACCCGTATAATATATGTAGAAATTTGTATAAACTTATTCTGATGCCATTAGGAGGATCTACAGAAGATCTGCGCTAAAATGTCTCTTTTGCAAGCGCAGTCGCACTAGAACTTATTTAATTATATTAAGTGCTTGTGTTATGGAAGTCTTGTTATAGGTAACACTACATTTTTTTTCTCCCATGCAATAGCGCACTCGGCCACGAAAATTCTTATCCTGACCTAGAAATTGAAACTGGAACCACTTGTTTGGTACTGAGATTTGTTATACCAATACAAGATAAACAAATATAACCTATAGAACGTGTACTACCTCGTTGGCCGAGTGCTCGCAATTGCGACTGCCGAGCAAGGGGTCTCGGGTTCGATTCCCGGGACGGGCAAAGTATTACTGGGTTTTTAAACAAATTCTCAGTAGTAGCACGGAGTCTGGAACTGTGCCCGGTATATGGCAATAGGCTCACCCCCTATTACATGGGACTCATAACATAAATAGTGAAAAGTGGGTGTTACATTGTGCAGTGGTATAATGTGCACCTCTGCCTACCCCTTTGAGGATAAAAGGCGTGATGTTATGTAATGTAAGAACGTGTACTACTAAACCACAGCGACCTACCTTCATTCACAATTACCTTTCCATTTACACAACAACACTCCCTCACATAGCAATTTTAATTCAAAAACAACCAACATTACATTTACGATGTTTTCCGTTCAAATTAGCATAAACTGCAATAAATATGGCTCCTTTAAAAATACTAGTAAACTATACAAACGATCGTGTTTGTTTTATGACTCCATGGTATGCTATGGGGGAAATTAAAAGGCTGTTATGTAAAATTACCCTTTTTTACGAACCTATTATTATTGGGTAACATTTTTATGGTGTTGTTGTGTAGGTATTTCTATGAAAAACGTTTGTAAGGGGTTAAAAGTGGTGTCGATATTTTTGAGTGATTTAGGGTTGTGCTTTGTGAACTAGAGAAGAATATTTGAAGGCCAGTTATATTAAATCAATTAAATATAAAGTAATGTTTAGACGTTGAATAGACATATGTTATTTATGGTGATCATAAGGCACCTTTACTGGGTCTATTTGTAGGTAGCACCAAAGGTTGCCTGGTAGATATCGCTTTTAGCGATAAGGCCGCCTTTGTACCCTATTTTCTTTATTTGTTCCTGGATATACTGTCTCAAATTGGTGTACAATAAAGATTATTTATTATTATTTATTATTATTAATTGGTACCACATGCCAAAAATTATGTATTATTATTGTTATTAGATATCATACTTAACTGCTAAGAGTATATAGTATTCAATTTCTTCACATTGTTACACTTATATTAACACATACAAAACACAATTATTTACAAAAACATACACAAAGAAAACAGCTAAAACCTAAGTTTAATTTCACCAAAACATTTGTTTACTAAAGTAATTTCTTGCACTATTTACTAATTCACTTGTGTTTCTCTTCCGTACCGAGTGCTGCATACGTAAGGAGAAGTTTTAAAACGTTTATGCATCCATTAGTGGCACGTTGTAATGAGTTCCGATTAATGTAACAGCCACCTACACCTACTGCCACCTACTGCCACCTACTGCCACCTACTGCCACCTTCTGCCACCTTCTACCATCTACTGCCACCAACTGCCACCCACTGCCATTCGCTCGTGCCACTCGTTTTAATAAGTTTTTACACTAATTGGAAACTATAAATTTATCTCTTTTCCAAAGACGCTTTTCGCGAGGAATGTGGGTATTGAGTACTTATTTGTGGTTTACTAGTTTATTTACCATCTCTATCACTTATACTATGTGCAAAAGATTAATTAATTGTTACCAATGTACAAAAAGTTTTTTCTTCTTATCCTCTTATAATATCTTCTGATTCACTTCGTTGCGGGAACCAAGACAGTTACTCATGTCTCTGGGACGCGCCGGACTTCAGTGTTCCGGTGTTTTCATTGTTGTATCTACTGTAGATCCTGGCTTACAGGAGTTGCAGCGGTTATGGGAGGTTGTGGCGGGCTTATCTCTTAAAAAAATGTACAAAAAAAATGTGTATACAATTAGTATACTACTGCTTATTAAAATTTCCAAAATATCCAACAAAAGGCTCTAATAAATAATACCTCTCATAAAAACTTAAACGCTTATTACTTACGTGTCTTTATACAAAAGCCAAGTACAAAACCTTCTAATAAGCATCTCCTAAAATTACATAACGGGCTTAAAATTAATTAACATTTCAATTAACCAAAATGTAGCACACTAATAACTTGTTAAAACAAATAACAACTTTTTTAATATCAAGCCGTACATAGTAACGGCAACAGCTAGTATGAGTCTTAAAAGCTAACGTTAACGACCTTCACCGCCAGAGGGCGTAACGGTCGTCAGAAAGCTAATTAAGGAACGGTTTTAAAAATATACGCCATGTTGCAAGTATGTAGGTCACTAACCGAAATATAATATTTCAAAGTTTTTGTTGTGTACAATAATATATTGTTGAGGCAAAATTGTATGCTATTAACTATGTAATGCGTTTAACTGATGACTTTGGAAGGAAAACATGAATTGCTTAATCATATAATAGTGGCACTGTGACTCTATGTTTTTATTGTTTACTAGCTACTTCCGCGCGGTTTCACTCACGCTGCTCGGCGCCTTTTAATCGTAGCGTGATATTTTATAGCCTATAGCCTTCCTTGATAAATGGGCTATCCGACACAGAAAGAATTCTTCAAATCGGGCCAGTAGTTTCGGAGATTATCGCGTTCAAACAAAAAAGCAAACTCTTCAGCTTTATAATATTATAGTATAGATTATTATTATGTCTGAAGCTTAGGACAGATGTTAGGAAGTTCATTAGAGTCCGCATACAAAAAAAAGGCTTAAATGCAAACTTTACATCTGGTTATAGATCACACGATCATCACAATTAGTGGAAAATTAATCATTTATTAAGTTACAATATCTAGTTACATCTAAAAATCTTGCCAGTAAACTGTTCATAGACACAACAATCTATTAATTTAAGTTAAACATCTTCAATCTAGCCAGTTATAACTAGATAACTAAAGTACGTAATATGATTCCATCAGTTTTAATTACGTATATTGTAGAGTACATTTATGAGATGATCGACGATACTGGATTACGAATTCCCTTGAGTGAAGTCACGTCTCGCATGTCTAGACTTGCACTTAGGCATTTGAAACCAGCTTATTAAATACGAGTGGAAGTTTCAGTGGAACTTTTATATTACAGTGTAAGAATACTGAATAACTATTGAGTAATTTAAAAAAAATCTCAGTAGTAGCACGGAGTCTGGAATTGTGACCGGTATATGGCAATAGGCTCACCCCCTATTACATGGGACTCATAACATAAATAGTCAAAAGTGGGTGTTACATAGTGGCATAATGTACACCTCTGCCTACCCCTTCGGGGACAAATGGCGTGATGTTATGTTATGTTATGTAATTTTTATGAAAAATAGTTTCGGCCTAGTGAAGTTTTTATTAGCTTAACTGACGAATGATTTGATTTTGACTTAATAAAGACGAAACAAATACTAATATTATAAATGAGGATGTACATAATATGTAACTATGATTTTTGCTCTTTCACGAAATAACTACTAAATAGATTTAGATAAAGACATTTATTTGCGTTAAACATCATATACATAGATGTTATAGTTACAATAGATAGATCATCATGTTTTGCTTAAAAAATAAAGCATGCAAATTTTACTCCACATATAACTTATTTTAATTTACTTATATTTGGAGTTAGTTGACATAATTGTAGTAGAGCGATAGATATATGAAGTAAGTCATCAGTTTTAACGGATACACGGTTGAAGCCGCAGCAAAAGCTAACTATTTATAAAATGTGTCAATTAGGCTAACTGAAATTTCTTCGGCAATGGAGAAATGAAACCTAACCTTTACTTAAGTAGACTACTACCTAAAGTGCTAGTATGTAGTAAATTGAAGTTATTGGTTATCTTTCAATGGGATACGATGAGAAAGTTTATGTATTTATAAATGCTTCTGAGGAAAACAAGCGTGTTGTTATGTAACTAATGTTGTTTTGTAACATCCATTTTCGCGTGAAACAAACATGTTTTTAACTAGAGACTGGTTTTAAAGTGGAAAAATATGTTGTTCGATTATTTTGTTAGCTAACAGATAAAGTATCTCGTATTTTATGTAAGTCAAACATACCTAAAATGCAAGTAGATTTCTAAGTGTTGTGTGAATACAAAAAAGTATATTATAAAGTAAAATGCACAGCAATAAAAAAAGTCGTTTAAATTTTTCCCGAGTATGTTGACCACAAACAAAGCGTGTGTGTATGTTTGTTCTTTTTACGTCCCGAAGGTTCGTCTCTCAGTTGATTGCTCAGCGCTCGCGGGACGTCGCAAATTCATGCTTCAATTGCAAGCAAGGCAAGCCTGGTCCGTGGAACTGCACGCCATTTTACTTGGTCTCGAACTGCCGCCGACGTGAGCCGACTGCCATCGGCTCCTAAACAGATTTGTTGAGTTCCGTCTTCGAGAGAATTCTAGTAACATTCTGAATTAGATTATGTAGGTGCAAAGTGGAATACATCAGTTGAGTTGTTCGTTTGATTTTCGTGTATTTTTCGGTTTGCAAAAGCCACGTGTTTAAACTTCCATCGCTTTTCTGTTTTCAAAACGGTCTGAATAATTTTATCGTAAAATAATTGTAGTACCACTATTCGCAATTTCATTAGCCCAATTTAAACTTTAACCGTCAATGTATCCATCACTCTTACGGATTATAGCTTCAATGTGCTAAATCCGATTACATCCAGCCTGTATTTACAATTAGCTCTAATCCTAGAGCAAACAGGGCGTATTTTATCCTAGATTTATTCGCTTACGTATTCAGCCTAGAGTGCTCTGAATGAGAAAGTAACTGGTCAAGTGAGGATAGTGTGCGAATCGAAATGCGAACTCAACAAAGCTCCCGGTCTCGGTAGTGTAACGCACATAATGGAGGATTAGGGGTGTCGCCCACACTTACTTGGATTAAATAACAATGGCAGCCCACTGACCAAAATTAACTATCTACTGTGTATTGGATATTTATAGATTTTATATTATATGAAAACATATCCAAAGCAATCAAATATTAAGAAGATATTTTACTAATAATTGGTTAAAATCCTATTTCGATTCTTTATACTCCTTTCACATGTTTATAATAGATATACTGTCGTCCAGTATATGTAATGTAACTAGCTTAATAGTTCAAAAGCAGCAACCCTACACGGTATTGCGGAATGCGTGGCCTACGATGGGCTTCGTAACGAAATGGTCGCAGCTGACGGCACCGAGTGCGGACAACGGGCTCTATCCACGCTTCCAGAAACTTCCACAACTATCGCACACATTCTACATATAAGGACATGAGGTTTCATACAAATCTCATTAGGGTTGAACTCCATTTATGTTACAATGTTTTTTATGTCTTTTTTTCGCTGATAATGATAAAAATGTTCGACATTATGTCGTGTTTTTGTTGTTGCTAATAAAATTCTTTAGAAATCGTAACTAGGTACCTTGCTTGGCATACCCTCTAATAGATATCATACATTTTACTAATCCATTATGTTATAAAAGATAATGTCTCACTGAGCACATTAATATGTTTCAAAATTTGTCTATCGGATATTCTCATTACCATTTTACAATAGCAAAATATTTAGATACATATTTAACCAGTTACAAATGACATTACATGATCGAATAGTCAAACATAACAGTTATAGATGTAAGTCAATAACTTAAGCTAGAGTAAGCTAGCATAATCATATTGTTCAGCAAAGCATTAGTTTCGGCCAACTGAGGTCCATTCAGATTAGGCACTGTTGACGCTTCCAAGTGACTCACTCACATTATGTATAGTTGTTAGTTATTAAGTCAAATTATACATCCTAATCTATACTAATATTATAAAGCTGAAGAGTTTGTTTTTTCGTTTGAACGCGCTAATCTCCGAAACTAACGGTCCGATTTGAAAAATTCTTTCTGTGTTGGATAGCCCATTTATCGATGAAGGCTATAGGCTATAAAATATCACGCTACGAATAATAGGCGCCGAGCAGAGCGAGTGAAACCGCGCGGAAGTAGCTAGTAATATTATAAGTGCCAAAAATTTGTATGTTTGTTTGTTTATTACTCCTTTACGTCAAAACTGCTGAAGGAATCGGGATGAAACTTGAAACAAGAGTAGGTTATGGTCTGAAATAACATAGGCTACGTATTTTTTGTCCCACGGGAATGTGAGCGAAGCCACTGGCCGAAGCTACTACAAACATATTCTCAGTATGGGGTGCCACCTTCTATGATCCTTTCATGTTAATTATATAGATTTCCTTTATCTTCTTTTAATAAACATGAGTTAATCCTACACAGAAACATTAGAAACACAGACTACGTGTTCTATAGTTTCTATTTATTTGTCAAAGATATTGCGCAAGTTAAAATTTTCATATTTTTTTCGTGTTTTTTGCGTACAAACCTACAATGAACATGAGAATTCTGAATTTTTATAGAAATAAATAGATAGATTCTACAATACAGTAAATTGTTTTCAAAATTTACTTAAATTTAACTTTGAGTGCAATTCAGTAAAGCTACCTTTCCTAGTCCTTTACTCTCGTCTCTTTATCTGCATAAAATATGATCACGTAAAGCACGGCTAGAGCACCGGGTCACTAATAAACTTCAACCATAAAACTATTAAAATAAAACTCAAAACGAAAGATTTACAGTCAGTACGTACGCTCTTTAAATTTCAATGATAAAAATCTTTCCCCCACTCAAAAAGTTTTAGATATTCTTGAATTACTCGTGAAGTTTTTCATGACTTGGACATTTTTTATGATTTAATTTAAATCCCGCATCCATTAGCATAGCACGTACACTTTTACATTTACGTGTGTCTAGTGAGAATTTGGAGTCCCTCTACTTTAATAACATATTGACAAACTCCTAACCTGATGAAAAACGTGTAAAAAACTAGCTAATTTAAACGATAAAAACAAAACATTAACGCTCCTTTTCCTCTGCAACGCAAAAATATTGATATAATATCGTTCACCAAAATTTCCCGCCCATCAAGCCTACCAAAGCGTTGGTAGTTCAACTAGTTATACAAAATGGCGGCTCTGTCAGTGTGTTCGGATCCCATTGCTGCAGAATAGGATTACGGGCCGTACATCTGGAGGCTCATGGAAATGCAAATGCAATCATATTACCGAACTATATCGACGATATACCTGCCAGCAGATAGATTTACTTGGACTTAATTTTACTGGCAACATTCCCCTAACGCTGAGATTGGATTAATTTTCGAATATATTCGTTTGTGAATTTGTTATGTTGATCTGTGGTTAATAGAATATGATTTTAATGAAGAAGATTATTATTTTAATTCAATTTGGTATCGTTTATTTGATTTTTTATAAATGAACACTCATTTAAAATACACCAATCGAACCTGAATATGTTAAACTAACCTGAAATAAAATACAATTAATAACTTCTTTTCGTTTCGCCATTCTTACCTGTACACATATTCACCATAACTTTTTTTCTTCCAAAGGAGAGCTGCCAAAACTACATACGAGTGCTGGTCTCCCTCGGTCCTGGTAGACTACTGGTCTGCGGCACCAACAGCTTCAGACCGTTCTGTAGAGAATACAGCGTCCAACGAGACTCCTACCACATGGAGAGAGAAAAATCAGGCCAAGCTGTTTGCCCCTACGACCCTGAACATAATTCCACCGCCGTTTATGCGGGTAAGTAAAAATTGTACGATTGACCTTGTATAAAAATATTTAGGTTCAGAATATTTTATACGCAATAACAAATGGTGTTGCTAGACTATACTATCGTTAATGAAGCTAGTTAATAACTTTGTCTGATTTCAAAATAACGACATTATGCCCAAAATATAACAATAACTAAACTCATTCAAAAAAACAAAAGCAGTTATTAGAACAAACAAGAGGGCTAGAGTACCTAGTAAATTGTGAGAGACAGCCATAAGAGGGACAACGCAGAATACCTAGCTAGCAGTCTGAGTGAGCCTGACCCTAATAACATAGCCTAGATAAACATCTATCCTATTAAAACCTGTGTTAATTTTAGCGTAGAATTTAAAGGACAAGTTTGAGGTAAAACCAGCCAGTGTAACAGTGGCAGCAAATTGCCTGGCAACCCTACCTACCAATTAGCACGACACTGGAATATTTAAATTTTTAAATTTGGAACATTTTTTATCTGTGAGAGGAAATGTTGTAGTTTTGGTCAGTCTGGTGATTATAATGGTTTCAACTATAAAGCATTCGCATGTAGATAGACGTTTTATTTAAATTGAAATTTATTTTAATTTTTTGCACAACTATTTATTGCGTAGTACTACAGTACCTACTACCAAGTGAATATTAGTGCGATACTAGAATGCCACAGAGTTACAGTATAAAATCTGATAGAAAACCTGAAAATGTTTAAAATACTCAAGAATGAAGCCACATGAGGTATAATACCAATAAGTCAATATAACTTTTATGTGTTAGAAGACATTTTAACATACTATTTTCTATCAACAATCTACATAGTACCTTGACAATATAACCGCAATAATCGCGTAAACACGATTAAGTTCTTAATCCAATTTACAAATGCACATCGCACAATACACACATGACTTATCTTACGATATATCTTAGAGGTGTCACAGTCGAGCGGGTTTCTAAGCATTACCATGCTCGTTAATGGGACACAACGACGGTCATGTTACACTATACTCCGCAATTAGTTGTCTTGTATGTCTTAGGCCTAATATTGTCTATGTGTAGCTGAAGATTAATGGCGGGCCGTGCATAATCTGTGCACTCGTAGATTTACAAGAAGTAATATTTGATATGCTGACTAGACTCAAATTAAGCACGTTTGCCTAGTTAAGCGATTTGCATGATAAATACAAAAATAAATTCACATAGGTACGCACTTTTTTTAGTACCCCCTTAGCGTTCTCGAAAAACTACTTAAAAAAATATCACCCTCTATCAGTACAAATCACAATCGAACTCGAGAAACCCCAGGTGTGGAGTGCACAGCGTATCATTAATCGCAGAGCATCTCCTGAGGGTGTTATACTACCATCCAATCTACACTTCCCCTCAAAAAATCGCTTCTACGAAGAATCTTCCAATAAGCAAGATACTGGAAACATAACAAAGGCTTGTTATCAGACTAAGAACATACAGAGAGTCGCAAAAACCCTTCCCGGTAACAGGGTCACATATGCTAAGGAACCCCATGGTCGTTCTATTGTCAGGAAATTAGGAAAAAAGGGAAAATCTCTTTCATAACGATTGAACCCACTTTCACAGTCTGTCGGCGTACAATGGCCACTCATTGTTGCATTGTAAAGAGGTTCTCTCAATAGGTGTACGAGTGGATTATGACGTGACTGCTGTACATACGTGTTATAGAAATAGTTAGGATTATATGTCTGACGCGATTTGGTTGCTAACAAGGACTTTTATACAGCGAACACGCGGGTATTGTAGCTACGATTTTGGTCCATGCTGTGTAATATATGTACCTAAATACCTATGTACCTAGGTAATCTTATGCTTCGATGTTATTAGTTAATAATAATAAAAAATACTCACTACTTACGCCTCTGCGTTCAAATGGATCCCCTAAATATCAATTACTTTACAAAGACTAGGCGTAGAAAAGAAATTTGAAGTAGGTACTAGACATAATTATAACAATCCATCGGTTTTTTTGGTAATTTACAAATCAAATCAGACAATTAATAAATATTATACAGATGGCAATCGACTAATCAATAATAACTTTTATAAATAACTGCAAGTAATTATAGGTATACAAAAACCAATAATATTAATTTGAACCCTTGAAAACTTCACAAAGTATAAAAGTTTCGCCCACAAATACACTTCACAATAGCCTCCTATATTTCAAGATGGAGTCGAAAATAGAACAATACGCGATACGCCTTATATTATCATAAACAATAATACGCAAGTTCCGATGTTATGAATACCACGCGTATTATTGCGTAGTCTAACGTACCTATTGTTTGTATTGTTGAAGTGATGTCCCAAATCCTTAATACTTAATATTCTTAAAATCAAATGTGTGGGTAATGTGACAAACGCTGGTCAGAAGGCTGTAAGGTATACAATTCATAATTAACAACTGTACAACAATGTGATGGAAAACTAACTATTTGGCTAGAATGTTAATTATCATAATAATTTTTCAACTTACTCACGTAATTATTTGACGAGGAACTCGACTAGTTTCAGCAGTAGCAATACGACAATCGCCGTGTCGCGTGTCACGGAATGCTGCTCATGAATATGAGCCGCTAGCATGGCTTGAAACTTGTCGAGTTCCTCGTCAAACAGTTACGTGAGTAAGCCGAAAAACGTAATAATTAATTTAGTATGTCTCACGAAAATTATAACATAAATATGGCTAGAATGTTGCAAATCAATGTTGCGGAACCATTTAGGCAAAACATTGCCCTATTTTTAAAATACTCCTCAACTGTCTCAAGAATATGAAGTATAAACAGTAAACAACAGCTTAAACTACTGGGCCCAAAAGCCAGACTAAATACGAACACTATTCGAACATTTCTGAATCATCATTGCCAAGCCTACATAATATTTTAGCGGTTCGAAATGCTAGTGAATAGCAACAAAGCCCCAGGTGGAAGATAATACCTGGAACAAGCATATTCCGAATTTATCCTTTGCAGTAGTGCATAAATATCTAGCAAGCTGAGTCTAAGCCTAAATGTAAGCCTTTGTGACCCAATTTGCTTATTGAAAATTACATTTATTGATGTCGAAATGGAATTACTGGAACAGATAATGTCTGTTCGGCAATTTATATTTTGATCCAAGTTTATCGTTTCGTTTGATATTAAAATAAACAAAATATGCCTTCTTTCACCTGCTAATAATTCATCGATAAATTTATCCGATCCTAACTTATTTCGTGGAATAGATTTTCCGAATAATTTGATCTGAAATCCGAGTTAACTAAATTCTAATAGGTAACAACATTGACTAAATGGACGTGATTGTAATCCCCCTAAAGAAGGATAGGATTAGGTACGTGGTAAATAATAACAAAAAACCTAATGAACATTATTAAATAATCCTCTCTCGTCAGCCTAGAAATCAGCCTAGATTGCGCCGATTATTTTAATAATAAGACTGAACATTGATTCTCTGAGAAGGTACTAGAATGACTGTTAGTCGACTTCACTAAAATACAGTACTTCATGTTTCAGTACAGCTGTAAGTACCTTAATATCTACCTACACCATTGTACTCCAGACAAAACACGCTGAAAAGGACAAGAGATTATCCTGAACAAACAATCGACGGTTTTTTACAAAAGCTTTGTGAAAAAAATATATTTACTGTGCCTTAGAACTGAGAGAGGTATTCAGAAATTAATTTGAGATCTACAATTTGTATGTAATGTATTTTCTTTCAGTTGCTTGTAACCTTTGCTACTTTTGTATAGGGCTCCTTATAGCATGCACTGTTTACGCTGATGTGTAACTCTATACGAAAATTAAGTTTCTTAGGCAAGTTATAAGATTGAAATCATCTAGATTTTGAAATTCAAACTTGAGCATTTCCAGGATTTAAATATTTATTTCCAAAATTTCAACGCATAAGCTAATTATCAGAATTGCCTTATAAATAAGAAAAATGGAACCAAAAGTATAGATTGCAATCCGCTTAAATTCTAATCTCCTTTGTCTTGATTCAATAAGCAAGTCTTGTTATCCGTCAACATGACATAAAATCCACTGTGTTGCCATGGTTACAATGCATATCCCCCTACAAACAGTATCCTATGGTGCTGAACCATCAATTACCGTCACCCTGTCCCTTTGTGCAATTTTCTTTGCATTAAAGCATCCCCTTGCAAATTCACACCCATTTATAACACGCAACAAAACTATCGTCGCAACTTGTGTTATCTGTGGTCACACTGCCGTGTTGTTTTTATTTTATGAAGAACAGACAAAGGGGATGCTTTTTACAGCCTTTATTCACTTGTTTAAACGTAGAATATTTTTCTTTTTCATGTAACAAGCCTTGTCTCTAAATTCAATTTCAGACCTCCATATGGCCATGCTGGCTTCAAAATTAAAAGGAACTCCTAATGTATGTATAACCGGTTATCTAAAACACGTTAAAAAAAACACTTCAAAATTCATGCGAGTAATTAAAAACCCTGTCCACGGACAGTTTGTCGTCGGACGTTAAACGCACAAAAAAGCAGAGAGTAAAACGTTTACATTAATTGAATTCAACAAAAGCACAGTTGCCAGTTTGTTGTATTATTTCATATATAAAACTGGAGCTAACTTTTACACATTTGCGCCGGCAACTTTTTTAAATTGTCCTCATGTTATGTTCAGCAATTCGGTCATTCACGCAAACGTTACCTTGTTATAGGTGGCTCGTCCTCTATGTACACACATTTCGGTGAAACACACACACAACTCCACCGGCGTAAACGAAACTTTTGTATAAAAATGTGAGCAAAAGAATGTATACGGGTGTGTGTGTCAAAGTGACCACTTACAAACATAGCCGGCACAGTACGTAGATATACTTTTTGTTCACACACACATGGAACGTGGATGCATTACGTTGTGCGGACTCGGTTAGTTATCTCCTATTGATCTGGTCCAATTAAGTGCACCGACGCCCTGGGGAGCAGTGGCCGGCTCACCGGCAGCCGGTCTTAGGCTAGCACCTAATATATATGTGTTGCTAACTTCCGTGTCGTAATTTTGCTGATAGTGTAGTGCAGCTGTAGGTAGGCGGGTACAATTCCCGGCGATCGTGTCCGGTCGGAGATTGCGACGGACTTAAACTATTGTGCTAAATACTCATTGTCTTGATGCTGATGCTGCGGTAAATATTGAACAGCCTCTTGTTTTGATTGGACAGGGAACTGAATTGTTTAGCCGAGCTATAGATCTAGGTTTTCAATTAATATGAGTCCGTGTTGGTTGGCCTTTGAAAGCTTTGACAAATTTTATACCGTGTACAATACGTGTATGCAAGTTCGTTAGATGTGACACGCGTCTCCTCTCAAATTCCACGAACATTTCAATGGACCACCGTGTCAAAGGTTCCATTCAATATTGCATGTCCAGGTAGCTCACATATCAAAGTTTTGAGGAAAAGGTTTTCGTTCCTTATTTGTAGTAACGAACAAAGACTGTTGAAAGAACAATGGAATAGCGTAAAACAATTTACGGATAAGTATTAAGTACCTACGTTAAGATTGACTGAATATATTTCAATGAGTTTGGCCATAATTTAGGAAAGGGCTAATTTTCTTAAATCTTAAAAAGGCCTTATTGCTATAGAGCTTTTAGACAATCAGTAACACAATACTCTCACAAACTTATCGACTATCAGACAGAACCGGCACAGTTCTCAGTACCCACATAACACTATGGCGTATTGTTAGAATAATCAAGCTTTAACATTCTCTGGGGACAAAGCCACACAGGCTTTAAACAGGCCTTCCCATAAATTGAAGCAACGTACGATCTTACAGCACACAATGTCCAACGCATCTGCACTAGTGTTGCCTGTACCTTGTCTCAAATAAACACAGGTACTACTCCACCCTTATCGCCTTTTACGACCCTCAAGGGAAATGGGGCCGATCCATTTGTAACGGAGACACCGTATTGTTATCTAGTTAATCAAATTAGTGCTCGAATACGCAGCTAGACTTGATCTGTACCTACATAGGCTTACTCAGTCTAATTAGTTTTAGTTGTATTGAATAGAAAGAGAGATCAATTAGATAGGTTTGGTTGATAGGTTAACGAATATGGACGGTTTAGTTCGTTCATTGCGATTAAGCACATTTTAGTTATTGGTGAATATAAGTCTGTTTAAGAGAATTATTATTTATAAATAAAAATAACATCATACAATTTACCTCTGCAATGGATATAATAGAGACACTTTACGTGTGTAAAGTGTGTGTGAGTGAGTGTTCACTCATCTCCATTTATATTACGAATCTCATATAGAAGACGAGTCTATAGCGACTAGGCACCTACACGTGTGCCCGGGCAATTCACAGAGCCACGTTTGGGCAATTCGCAAGCACATTCGGGTAATTCACACAGACACATTAGGCCAATTAACGGGCACGCATCTCATATGCAAGACACGTAGGCAAGCTGATGGCATGTAACGCACTCTGTTCACTTACCACTGCATTACGGGATTTCCCAATGAGGTTTACTCTGGGGAAATGCTGAGTACATTTGTAACTTCATTAAAATTACATAGGACCTCTCTCTTGATTTGAAATACGTAAAAGAATAGAGGCCTCGGTATCTATAGAATTTGAACTTATTTCTAGGATTTTAATTGTTAGGTTTTAGGATTTGTTTTTGTTGAAATTCTGAACTGAAATGTGCCCGATATTTGACAATAAACTTGCCCTCTACTACAAGGGGCTAATAACGAAACTTGTGGAAAAATGAAAGCGCTTGCTTGCCTCCTGATTAATAAAGAAGGTTTGATGTTATGTTACGTAAAATAAATGAAGAAAAACAACGTTCTTGTTAAATTATTTTTATCCAAACATGATACTGGTCGTTATTTTGAGCCATAGATTAAAATGACGACCATTTTTATTTTTAAGCCTTCAAGCGAATTCGTTTGACACAACCATGAAAACTTCGGCAGGTAATATTTTTGTTCAAGGTTTAAAGTTGGTATTTGTTTATTTTCAGACGGAGAGTTGTATTCAGGAACAGTGGCCGACTTCAGTGGTATGGAGCCGATCATATATCGAGAGCCTTTACAAACGGAGCCGTACGACTCAATGACGTTAAATGGTGAGTACTTCCTACGACAAACACGTACATAAGTCCCCCCAAAAGACCTGTTACGCACTTGTGACTTCTCTGGTGTTACGGGTATCCATGACTGATTGCTTACCATTAGCTCGTTTGCCCCCCTGCCCTATTTCATAAAAAAACTCTGATTAACAGCATTTACTTCAAAGTTATAAAAAGGCCAATAAATCATAATAATCAGCTCATTAACATCAAATTACAAACAGCAGTAAATGACAGTACAGTGATAACACCACAACACATGCTTTGTTAACAATGTGTATTTACATATCTCGGCCGATTGACTCTCAATGCGGCTGTCAAACTGACATCCGCCATTATAATCGAATTCAAAACGGCGGGAACTCCTTGTCATCCGTTTGACGTTTGACATGTCAACAATCAGTAAATCCGATTATGATCTCGACTAAACACTGATGGGCTTGTATTGTATCACTCGCTTAATTTAATTGGGTGCTAAAATTCACTCTAATCTTGACATGATGATCCTTAGAATTTAATTATAATATGCAATCATGTTTATACATATGGTATCTAATTAATAATATCTGTTTTTTTTAGCTCCGGACTTCGTGAATTCGTTAGTACATGGAAACTTCGTGTACTTCTTCTTTAGAGAAACGGCTGTTGAATATATTAATTGCGGGAAGGTAAGTCAAAAATAGTCAATAAGCCGAAGAAAAAATTGAAAAGGAATACAGTGACCACCCAATATACCTTACCAGATAGACTAGATAAACTAAATCTGTCCAAAACCATCCAATTTCTATGTCTATAGAAGACATTTTATTATTAAAACAATTCATTTGTTCAGTTCATGCGCGAGTATGCACTGCACTAACTCACTGGCGACGTGACACGACATCACCGTTCCAACACACACAGCGCACAGTGGCAGCGCTACAATTCATTGCTTGCATACGGTTTTACTACACTATACCATCGGTATCTCTAAATTAGATTGGGGAATCCCAATTTAAATTCAAGTTATACACACTACTATTCAAATTATTCATGCAAAGGATAAAAATGAGGTTGCAATAGGTTGACGGTCATAAAATTGCTCAAAATCTTTTCGGTCGATAAGTTGATAATGTAGGAAGAAAAAGAATATTCACTTATTCTTTATCTAAATAAAAGTTGGATCAAGGCCTTATATGGCTTAAAGACACCAAAACATATGACGGTGTGCCAGTCACAATGCACTAAAGATGTGACTCTACTTTGTAATACGACTTTTTATAATGTTACGTTAATGGTTTGCTTCAGGCTGTATACTCCCGCGTAGCTCGAGTGTGTCGTGACGACCGCGGCGGACCTCATCGGTTCAAGCAACGATGGACTTCCTTCCTGAAGTCCAGGCTCAATTGCTCCGTCGCTGGAGACTTCCCCTTCTACTTTAATGAAATACGTAAGTTTTATTGACTTTGTATCTCTTATACATCGGAAGCAAACCAAAGCTTGCATTCCCAAGTATAAGACAACGATAATAAAATTGCAATTATCTATTCCAGAGTCCACAACGGAGTTAATAGAAGGAGTATACGGAGGTCTAAATGCGCAGTTAATATACGGAACATTCACGACCCCGCCCAACAGTATATCGGGTAGTGCTGTCTGCGCGTTCAGCATGCAAGACATAGCTGACACCTTCGAAGGAACATTCAAAGAACAAAGCGCGATCAACTCTAATTGGTTGCCTGTTAATAGTGCAAAAGTAAGTCCTAGCCAATGATGAGTTTATAATCTTCTTCTTTCGTATTCTTATATCTTCTTCTTAACCGTATTTCCTTAATTCTCTATTATCTACAAGCCTCTTTACGTTACTCAAATGTACGTTAATTAACTTAACATATCTTCTGTCTAGGTACCAGAGCCCCGGCCAGGAACATGTCATAATGACTCAAGGCAGCTTCCAGACCAGACGCTAAACTTCATCAAGACACACGCACTAATGGACGAGTCTGTGCCAGCTTTCTTCGGAGAACCCATCGTCATACGGACTAGTTTTCAGTAAGTTTGACAAAATATACTCCATTACTAAAATCTATATGCAATTTTCAGTAGCTAATCTTCCATTGTTTGTTCCAGCTATCGATTTACACAGATAGCTGTAGATCCACAAGTGAAGACACCTGGTGGGAAAGCATATGATGTCTTATTCATTGGCACAGGTGAGACAAGATAAAATCAAAATAACACAATAATAAACAACATGAAGGCCTAAACAAGGCTCTTTAATATCTTTATCTTACGCAATTTGTCGTTTTGATACAAATAACAATATTAACAAAACTAATTCTTCTACAGATAACGGCAAAATCATTAAAGCTATCAACGCAGTTTCCTATGACTCCAACAAACGCGCAGTGCCGGTCGTCATCGAGGAGTTACAGGCATTCGCAGCTGGTTCTCCAGTCAGAGCACTAAGGGTAGCGCGAGCTGGTCGTGATGCGGCCCGCCTGATCGCTGTATCAGATAGACAAGTCCTCAGTTTGAGGCTGCATCGGTGTTCCAGTGATAAGATTAGTTCTTGCTCGTAAGTGTCATTTTATTAAGTAGACTAACCATAGATTTCAATATCATTGCCATTTTAGGTCAAGATTAAAAAAAAGAACCCTTGGTCTCCAATAAAAGCAAATGGTTGTAAAACTCGAAAACTTTTTTCTGACTTTTCTAGATATATTAAACAAAAAATATTATTTCAGCGAATGTGTGGCGTTACAAGACCCGTACTGTGCGTGGGACAAACAAGCGGGTCGATGTCGCGCCTTCTCTCACGGCGTCAGCAGATGGCTGGACGAGAACTCTTTCTACCAGAGCGTCAGCACCGGCAGCCATGCTGCCTGCCCTCACAGTAAGTACTAAGAAAACTATCTATTCTTATTTTCACGCAATACCAACCTTTAGCCTAAAATTGCAAAAATAAATAGTGGTTGCAAAAACAATTGGTAGAAATATTCATGGTCGTTGCACTTCTAGGTAAAGACGCTGGGGCAGTAGGAGGTCTCAGTTCAGGTCTATACGATGACGCCAGAGGTGAGACGAAGGGAGAAGTCATCAACATCGTACAAGACAAAGACGGGAAAGGAGGAGGTGGAGGTAACGAAGGTACTTTTATTAACATGTTTCATTGTTTGATGCAGAACATTGTAGACATGCTTATCATTTCATCACATCTCGGATTCTTATCCTTATTACGAAAGAAGATGAGGTTAAAATTGATGTTTGTTTTTCAGGTCCTGAAGTTCTTGCGGCGGACCCTCCACCAGCAGCATATTCAGTAGAAACTCTAGCATTAGCAGTAGCAGCTGGTGCTCTAGCAGCGTTAGGCGCTGGATTCGCTGCTGGTACATTTGCGGCAGAAGGTGTAAGAAGGACGACGATGACAATATGCCTTACCCTGATACTGAGTATGAATACTTTGAACAAAGGCAGAATATTAATAGGTTTGTATTTTGTTGTTTGAATGAATTTTTCACTACACGAAATCATTACTTATTCATGATCATCTAACTCATTTACCTACATTCTAAACAAATAACAAAATATTAGTGTTCTGTTGTCTGTTAGTACAAAACTTGCAAATACTTACTAATATTTTTTGCTTTGTAGGATTCAAGCAGAACCTAAGCTCCTGCAGCAAGTAGAAGAAGTGACGTATGCTGAGCCAGTGCTAGCCCCTCAGCCGAAGCCTGCGTCTCCCCGCGCCACGCTGCGCAAGCACCCCCCATACCACCCCCACCACGAGACGCTGTTCCAGTTCCAGCCCGACGCATACCGTCGTGATAACTTCGGAACTCTTCGCTCTCATCAGGTCAATGTCAGTTATTCTCTTTTTTATTCTCTTGCATGGCTTGGTATAATCCTTTTACAGGTATGAGTGAACCTATATATGAAAAATGTGTGTTTTTTCCAAATGAAACGTTTTCTATGTGTTCAAAAAAGAATCTACCTTATTTAGTAATCTTCGTTTCTCCTACAAATACTTCTTAAAGACAACCTATATTAAGCTCGTCAATTTGCATGTATCTACTATTAATTAAACTAAGTACTTCTATCTCTATATGTATTAACCCTTACCTCTCGTATTTATTAGTAACATCCTACAATTTATAATTGCAATAAATCTACAGTAAGTTTTGTACTTCAACTGTTCTATGTTCATCGCCTTGCTCTTCTTCATCTTCAATCGACTGTCGTCCATTCTGCATGGTTCATCTATTTTCATAATTCTTATTTCTTTATCGTTATTATAATTTACTATCAAACTAACTTATAACTAATATTAATTTTCATGTCATTTCCATTGCCTAACCATTACGGTTACTATGTTCGTGAGATTTTCATCATGTATTCTAGTATAATGATTATATTAACTATTAACGTCGCTTTTATTGATATTAATCTCGACTTTGACATTACTATTTTGGTCGAATTTGCCATTTTTTCTAGAAAATCTCACTTACATTATAACTTTGATGTTAACCGTTCATTGACTCGACTAACTCACGCACGCTTATTCACCTAGGCATGTCAGTTAACACAGGAATATTCGGACCGCAGGGCGATGGGTACAGGCGCGGCAACGACAATGGCTTCTCGACCACGCGCTCAGTGAAGAAAGTGTACCTCTGAGAAACAAGCGGGGCGGACTCGCGCGACCAAATGCATCATCATAAACATAATACGCACCACCACCATACGTTGGGTGAGTTACGACCTTGTTTTTAAACCCTGAACTAAAAAGAGAGGTGTTATAAGTTTAACCTCTAAGTATGTACTTTGTCTGTCTGCTTGTATGTCCATCATTAGTCCATAAGTACCAAATGGGAGAATCAATTTAGATGAGCTTTTCACTGTTTTTTATGGCACAGAGCGACAAACGAGCACACCGATATCCTGATGTTAAGCAATAAGTGCGCTGCCGACATTTAAGGGGTTGGCAATTCGAAGATTGTTGATGGGAGAAAATTGGGCATCTGTTCAATACAAGCAAAAGTTTTTAAAAAAAAAAGATTTACATAGATTAAGGATAAGGATTAAGCCTTGGGTTGTTTGTGCGGCAGTGTCGCAGCGCAGCAGCGGCTCGGGGTCAGCGTCGGCGAGTGGCGGCGGATCGTCGTCGTCTCCGTCGCCGCCGTCCTCGTCGCCGTCCCCGTCGGGCGAGCGGCCCCCCACGCCGCCGCCGCCCGCGCCGCAGCCCTGCGCCTACATCTACCGCAACTAGCGCGCCGCCCCGCCCCCCTCGCGTGACGTCACACGTCGCGCCCCTTACGTGATAGAGACACCACCCGCTCCCGCGCACGTGACGTCACTGACACGCGTGATTAAGACATTCCAAAATTAACGACATTGTTATTCGAATCGTTTTCGACTGAGTGACGTTCGATGGAACGTGTTTTGTTATTGCCGACCCTGTAGTGAATACTGTGGACACGAGGACGTCGTATCGTATCGTACGTTGGACATGTTGAGCGTTATCCGTTACGCAACTTCGGAATGGCTGAATTCTAAAACATTTGTAATTTGGTAGAATAGGTACTATGTATATTTAAATGTGGATTGTTATAACAAAGAAATGCTATTACAAAACATTCTTCCATGAAAATAAATATATACGTACTGGTAATTTATCCACAATCTAAATTGATCGGATCTATGGGCAGAGGATGTGAGAAAAAATATGTATTTTTTTTAAAAGACGGAACAATATTATCGATTGATAACTATAAGATGAATAATGTAACAAATTGTAGATTGTTTAGAATATACATAGTTTACAAATAATGTAGGAGAAAATATAAGTTTTTGTTGGTAACATGTTAACGAATAGTTAATTTAAAACTGTGACCATCATTGCAGTTGTTTCAACATGTTCTGCCACCGTTGTTGTCAACAAAATGGAAGAGTTGCAATGGAGGCACATAACGCTTTTTTACATAACTACTATTTTTAGCATTACGTCATTAAATTAAGGAGGGTTCTCTTATTCTAAAGTTTTAGAGTTACTATAACTTGACGACATTGGGGGCAACACCGCTGAGGTCACCAAATTATAAATAAATATGTCAAGTGTTATGTTCAAATGGAGAAATATTTATGTGGTGTTGCATAATGTTGCCGAGCTATATCTAGTTTAAACAATGATTATAAACATTATAGTTGAAACAATGACATAATGAAACACAAAAATATGATATAAATTATATTTACCATGTATAAAATGATATGTAAAGTTCTGACTTATTCATTCATTAAAAAGTGCTTCTTATGGGTGTATTTAGATAACTAGGAGATCGTTTTGATAATTATTGGATAATGTTATAGAGTTAGCTTTATGTATACATAGATACATATAATAATAGTTAAGGCGGCACTGTGATGCCACATTGCCAATTTAGATTGTTGGTGCGCCATATTGTATAGTTACAAACCGGTAACTGTGATCATTGTGTACATACATTCTGTGACACTGACGACGTCTCCTTTTGTCTACTGTCGTTTCTATAAATTAAACTTTCCAGAAATGTGGGCCAAACGTTTGTAAAAATCCTTTTTCGAAAGACGTTCCTGTTGCTAATTTTGTAATTGCCGAGGATTTAGAATCCCCTCGTTGAATGATCGCTTTATGAATTGTTTTGTAAACTAGCTAGCAGTTACTTTCGACCCCGATATTGTATAGTGTTCAGACTCACCTTCGCTCATTGTTGACAATTGAATGTGTGTAAAGAAAATGTCAATTCTATTTGTAATGACTTAGTGCCTAAGTGTGTGTGGCAGGATTGTAATTTGTACACTACAATGATTCAGTTTTTCTTTTGACTGATATTAGTGCGGACTTTAGCGCGCCTTTAGAGTAGCGATTACAGTAGACAAGATGTAAAGAACACGATAGATATTGCTTCAGAACTCTGATGAGATCTTCTACATCACAGTACAACTGGCAATTGTAATTTTTTATCCAAAAATTGCTGTAAAAACATTGTCTCATGATCTGGAGATTGTAAACTTGTCAGAGTTATTTGGCAGTAAAAAAAGATAATTTTTATACGCCATAATAATAAAAAAGGGCATTCTCGACATTGCCTTCATAATACTCAAGTTTATTTCATTTTATAAAATACCAAAGATGCCATGATTTTAATGTAAATTATTTATTTATATATTAGTGTTTGCTAATGACGTAATTACTTAATCAAGTTGTTATTTTATATAAATATAACTGCCAATTTGTATACTTATTTTATAATTAACCAAAGCAACGCACAGATTGTTTTTAAATTAATTAATCCGTATGAAATGTAGATGCTTTAACATGGCAGAATTGTTCGGAAAATATTTATGTACGGCTATGAAAATGGCAACTTGGAATACGTATTTAATCTCTAAGCTTGCAGTCCTTAGTAAGTAGTATAATAAATATTTATCCTGTTACAGATTGTTGATTGTATTTATAGTCCGTTCGTTACAAATTGACCTTCTGAAGACACATGTTAAAGTTGTCGATTTATACGTGGGGTTGCCACTCAACTTTACAAAATCAGTACCTCAATGTTGCCATTTTCACAGTTTGTAATGAGAAAATTAATTAACACGTACATACGTAAGTGAGGCTAGTACTTGTAAATAGCAAGTTCTGTAATGTAAATTAGTTTTCGTCGAGTAAATAATTTAAGCGTTAGAGTTTAAGCGCAAGACATTTTTGAAAGTGAATTGTTAAGAATTGTTTTTGTATTACTTAAAAATAATATTGATGAAATGTACAATAACCATTTCTACGTTAAAATTACTGAACCACCTTTTTATACTCGTAAAGTTTAATTGTAATCATAAACATGCCTAGAAGTTTCTTGTACTAAGCGTAAATATTGATTTATAATATATTGAAATTATATAGATCGTATCGTAATGTAGAATATAATAGACAGCTTAATTTTGGTTGAAACTCGAAGCCTTAGTGTTAGAAATTGAAGACTTTTATTGAAATAAAGGAATAAGTAACAGATTGGATTTAATAAAAACAATCCGCAACTTTTATTAAAATATAATGTTAAGGTATAACTCGTTACGTCACGTTACTCTCAAACTATCCATCACATAACTATTCTATGTTATAGTATCTATGTAAATATGGAAAATGAGTTCTAAAGACAGGCGGGTAAGCGCCACTTTTCACTGAGACATGGTATAGAGTTTACCTACGCGACACGCTACTCGTTAAGAATTTACAGAACGTTAAAGTATACCTTAATAAATTATATTCACGTTTAATAAGTATTGCCTTAGTGCAACATTAGATTATGCCACGATACTCAGTGAATTGTAGGCCAATAACATAAGGATGTAAGTTTGGTTTCGCTGCGTGCAATATTTTTCTACTTGGAAAGTTTTCTCGGAATTCTAATTTCAAAATTACAATTTTAAATTTTAAAATTAGAATTGATGGCAGCGCATTTTGTGTTTACGGCGTTAAGATTTCTTTATCACAAAATGTTAAGGTAAATAATACGTAGGTAGGACAAAATTATAATAACTAACTACCTAAGAAAGTAATATAGGAATAATGAAAAATATTGTTACCATTTAGAGGCATTTATTATATTTTCATCAACCCATTCGTTCTCAGCAAAAAAAATCAAAGCATTTTGTGATAAAGGAAAGCAAGACGGTATAATTATCATGAAGTAACTATGGGAAGTGCCTAACTATATTACCTATTTGCACCTCTAGTACTACGGACCCCGTTATTTCCCATGAACCGACCATTATCTCATAATCAGATTTATAAGCGTTAGTTTAAATTTAATCTATGTTTTGTCAGCTATGCAGTTGTTAACAGACCGAATATAGCTTAAAATTAAACACTTATCTTCCGTGCTAAGTGATAGTGAGTTTCTAATAGTGTGCCTTTAGTATCGCATAGTTACCGCCCTTTAGAAACTCGAAAAAGAATATTGGAATAGATCAATCAATTTATTTTTGAACCTCATAAACAGTTATACTTCGTACAATTTTACTAGTAGTCATAAAGTATACGTCATCATTTTTACAGATAAATTCACTTAATACATTACCTGTTATTCCAATTCACTATTTCTATACCTGATGATAGTTTGGTAATCTATTATAAACCTATGATTATAAATTACCTTTTCATTCTCATTAACTCATTACATCTTTTGTACTAACCTTTCATTTGCTCTTTTCTCCTGCGACATAAAAGATGTAGTCTCTGTTTTGAGACTAATCTGTGTTTTGTCTCTTAACAAACTATAGACGAAGGCGAAATATTGTTTACTCTTAAAACAGAGTCTAATTTTAGTTTCTTTTAAGGCATAGGTTTAAGTAGGGGTTTTATAAATAATAATGCAAACGCAATTGCAGTGATAGAACTGTTACACCTTATTCGCTGCCCGTATTTATAGAGTGCAATTTTTTTATAACTAGAGACAAATAGATTGTAAAACATTGATTTGCAAAATATGAAATATTAAGCTCACTGAAGCAAGGTTTTATATTTTACTCTTCATTGTTTGAAATGTTATGATCATTTTCTCATTAAAATATTATTAATATTATGCTAAATATTTTAGCAAAGGATAAAAATGTATTCCTTTTCTTTAGTAAATAAAATATTGAAACTCGAGCATCTTTCTTTCATTTATCTCTAAACTATTAACTATTCTCCTGTCGTGTCGCGGAGAACTTATCGGGTTAACGGGGCTCCGGCTCGACGTGCAAGAGAAGGAACGGGGTGGTTTTTAGTCAGTAAAAGTCTGACACAAAGGCGGGAGCAGTCATTCGATGAAAAGAAAAAAAGAAAAAAACTCTCCTGTCGTCCTAATAATGTACTTACCTAATAAAAAATAATGATGAAATGGAAGTAAGTACCTACTTGTCTCTCTGCCTACCCTTTTAATGCATCGAAGCATTACGTTATAATAAATGTTCCCAAGGGAATAACCCTACATATACACAAAAAGTTCAATGAAAATCACCGAAATCATGCAAAGGCATGATTAAGGCTACGAAAAAAGATATAGCTCTCGAATAATAGCAAAACTTAGTGACAGTTATATCGTTATCGATGTTGAGACTACCCGTAAAACTATTCTGCATGTCAATCATGTCATGTCAAATTGTTTGACCTGTCTGCCGCATCTTTTCGCCATCGACCCTTACGACAGTATATGCATCCCCATCATATAGATGGTTGGCAGGCCACAACTGTGCGCTTTTAATGTAGATTTCTGCCACGCACAGCAAAACTGTGGAATAATCTGTCGTCGGCGGTATTTCCGAACCATACGTAAAGAACGTATTCCTTTAATAGGCCGGCAACGCACCTGTGGATCCTATGGCGTTGCCTGCGCAGGTGGCGCTGATCGCTTACCATCGGGTGATCCGTCTGCTCGTTTGCCTGCTATTCCACAAAAAAAAATCAAACCGAGTTTTTTTATGTAGTCTATGGAACATGACAGTGACACAAAGTTGACGTTTAACTGACATTGATACTGTCAACTGTCAAAGTGCTATTCATTGAGTAATTCTTCTAAATCACGAAAGCCATGTGTGAATTGTTTACTTTTATTATTCTATAATTACTCTGAAAATATGGAAAAGAGCGTAGTGAAATGCTTTGCGGTTAATTATAAGCCTATAATAATAGATGAGATCGCGTTAGAAGGCTTAGAAGGTATAGGAGTTGATTTATTATGGAGACGAGTACAAAAACGTATTTCATCAGATCTAACAGAGAAAATGAAAGTTCGTTACTGGAATTTTATTGTAAATAGTGGTAAAGTGTCTTTCTACCAATTGCCTGAACCTCTGCCTTACCTGGAACTACTGGATAGATTCGAAATTATTAACGAAGCTACCGGCCACTTGAGAGAACCTGTAAGTTTCTTTTATTATGCTTTATAATCTATAGGTACTTTTTGATAGAAGATTCGGTTATTATAAATTACTAATCGTTTGGTTCCAAATATTTGTTCTATTATCCATTATTATAATTATAATACCTACAAAGATATTTCATGGTGCTTATTTATAAGTATAAGTAATAAATATACCAACTCGTTTTCTTGCCACCCATTCACCTGACTATCATTCAATAATATTTAATAACAGTACCTACCTCACATAAAATTGAATAAATTAAAAAGTACCTCCTGACATAAAATTAAATGAATAAAAAATGAATGTTTCAAAATTGCAGGATGTGCCAATAGACGGTCCCTATGAATATAAGCCAATAGAAGGTGAGTATGGGTCCTGTAGATACTATGAAACACGGACATTAATACCCATAGAGAATCTAAAGACAAAGACTTATGAAGCTGTAATGTTGGAATATGGAGACACGCTGATAATTGTTGCGAATAAAGAAGAAAGATGGCATGCTCTAGCCCCACACCAGCCGATAAGTAATATAGCTCAGTTAAGTAGTATACATTACTGTATGTTGGAGCTGATTGGGAGATCTAGGGATAATGTAAGTATCTGTTTTGTATGATTATAGAGTTGTAATAATAAATAATAAAATAAATAAATCTTTATTCAGAAATGTTAATGGACACAGATACAAAAATATTTCTTGGGTATATTGTATATAATACTTGACATAATTTTGACAAAATAAAATATGACGTGATGTGAGAATAAATGTTTCTATTACACATTTAAGAAAGTTATTACGTCATTAAAGTTTCATACATTCAATTTTATTTTCGTACATTCAACACAAGTAATTTTAAGTTTTAATTTTACACTTGCTCTAACAAATTATCAATTATGAATTATGATACATTTCCCATTATAATAAATCCTTTCTTTCTTTCTAGGGTCAATCAACAATAGGCCGAACCAATTTAAATAAAATCATAAAGGACCCTAAAACTCTGTTCTATAATAGGAAATATTTAGGAAATCAGGACTTGATCAAGACAAATATTGTCACTGAATCAATAGCAGGGAAAGGATTCAAGGCTCTGTTGGTTCGATTGAAGAGGTTCAGCCAACCAAGTATATTGACTATGCCCAAAGTAGGCATACTACACAATGTAGTACAATATCTTTTACAACAACCAGACTTCAGTGAAAAAACTGAAGTTATAGTAAAAAAAGGTCTCATATCCCAGAAACAGAACAAGAGACTGCAGAAAACTGTTAATATTTTCAAGTTTGTAAGTATCAATTTGTATTTTTTTTAATATTAAAGATTAAATTTCTTACATCTATATTTCTGGAGTAAATTAGGATAAATGTAACAATATTTAGTTACAAAGATAATATATACGTAATAATAATTTATTATACACTAACTCGGTAATTGTAGTGTGTATTCAAAAATTGTTCTTTTCACATAACAGGAAGAAAGAACTATAGAACCAGATGAAACAAACAAATTAAAGACAAGTATCAAAAGAAAGTTTATTTACCTTTCATCCCGTAATGATGAGTCTTCAGAATCCGAAGAGGAGTCCCAGGGACCCCCGATGAAGTGTCAGTACAAAATTGGTGTAAGCCTTTTAAGACAGGCATATGAAAGATTCCTCGATGCAGGCCTTGAAGGTCTCACGCAGGTCCAATTAGGCCAGCAGCTCGGTGTGGAATTCTACACCAGTCGAGGCATCTGTAGGATGTTCAAAGCCAAGAATATTGTTCGAGAATATCTTGAGGATAAGGGAAAGCAGAGAACTGCTAGGTAAGTTTTTTGAAGTTTTATTTTCAAAACGAGTGTTTATTTCGATATTTTCTCCATATACTCACTTATTATATTTTTTAGTAATAAGCAAATGTTCTTTACACTTATGTTGTTGACAGTATCTATGTTTTTAATGATTTTTGTATACATTCATAAGATGCGAAAAGGTAAACAGAAGTAAACATATTTGTAACAATAATTGAATAATTCCAGATTTATTGCTAGAGCTGCCACTGGAGAAATGGACGTTCGATATTCAGAGGAGAAACAGAAATTCCTGGAATATTTGAAAGAATCACAAGTACCGAAAGAAGATGTTGAGCCTTCTGAAGATGAAGTACCAGCTAAGAAAATTAAACTGGAAGATAAACCTTCTACTAGCAGTACTGATGTAACGGGCCAAAATTCTGACGAAGATATCATGGCCGACGTAGATATGACCCCAGAAAAAGTAATCACAGAAGTAAAGGTCCTTGATGGCTTTGAAAACACCAAAACCCTCGGAAGCTTCACAAAGAACCCAACCTTGAGACAATTGACTTTTGCAAATGGTGTGTTCAAAGTCCTCAAGAAGAAACAATGTGTCAGTGGCTATATAACACTCAGCAACCTCACTTCCAAAGAAATTAACGAGCCTCCTATGGACACAAAAGCCCTTAAATCATTTGTACAGAAACTGGTAACCGACGCACATATCAAAATTTATAAAATTAAGTGGCCTGGCATTCAAAAGTATTCAGTCTTAATTTGTGCTGCTCACGTCAAAGCTACAGATCCCATAATAAAAGCCAAGTACAAAGAGATTTGTATGAGGGCAGTGACTAACAAAAAAGTGTCACTCAAAAAAGAAATCGCAGAAAACACTTCTCCTTCTATAACACAATTTGCAAACCCACGATACATGAAAATACAGAAGCTTCATGAATTTCTAACTAAATTGGCATATTTTGAGCATGTTAAACCAGAATCGCATTCATTACCTGCAGGCTTCGTCAGCATAGTTGATTTCATACAGGAAGTTACAATAGGATTCGCTATCCAAAACATGGCCAGTGCTATAGAAACGAACCCGCTGGTCAACCAGAGCCAGCTGGATATCAAAATGAAAGATGCTCCGCCACATATTTACAAAGCTCTGATGAGATCTTGCACATTGCAAAATGCAATAAGACTCAATTTAAAAGTACTGGCAATGCTGGGCCTTATACAACTGGTTCGCCCGTCTAATCAGACGACCAATAACATGGGCGCTATAACATACACCAGTTTCTTTTCTATGTAAATCGTAACGCCAAAATTATAGACACGACTGGCATTTGGCCCAGGGTAACAGATGAGAAGATCAAAGAAAAATCATATTATTTTGAAACATTTGAAGATGTGTCTAAGTATTGGCTTGATGTTTTTCAAATAAGTGTTAATACGATTATAGAGTTAGAAAAACGCAGCAGGAAACAACTTCAGCCGCCGCAGCGGTATGAGGACGAGGTGTTAGCGCACGACAACGGTACCCGTTATGGTGACGGCAATGGACCATGTGGATTCGACTCTTGCTTCTACATGGAAATGCCTCGTCTCTGGCAAACGTACTATGTGCGACCCATACAGTCTCATAGCTCACCGAAAAAGGGGAAAATTCAAATAAAAATCCCCAAACTAAAGAGAAAGAATAAAACAAAACGTGAAACTAAAATTAAAACTACTTCGAAAATAGTGGCCGAGAGACTAGCAAACGAAAAATTAACTCGTAAACGAAGTGACACTACAATAAAATGGTCGAAATCTGAGGATTTGATAATAACTATATGTAAAGCTGCTATAACAATACTGAGTCCTAGCTCACAACCCGGCACTTTGATTGTAAGAAATATAGTTGCCAAAGATATTCTCTCTATAAAGGATCCGAAAAAGACTAAAAGCGTATGCCATAGCAGGGCTTCAACTCTAGAAAGTAACTTAACACTAATTCATGAAAAGCACTGCATTATTAATGAACTTAAAAGAAGACGAAATCTATTACAAAAATATGAAGGATTGTTAAAGAAACTCAGACTGAGATACTCAACGAACATGACAAAGTTTATCAACAAGGCGCGCCTTCCCATGATGGAATTAGTTTGGGTTATATTACAGGTGATGCAGTCTAAATCATACATACAAAAAGTGCCATGTGTAGCATCGAACTTAGCGGATTTCTACGAACATTTCACGATCATAACATCTACTGCCAATAAATTATGTAACATGTTCAAAGTGCCTGAACATGTCACTTTGAAGGAGGCTGTAGTACTCACAATAATGCAAACAATAGACTCAGAAATCAGTACGGAATTGGGTAAAAAGATATATAAAACGTTTGAGGAATACCCTGAGGCTGCTGTAAGGTCCGCTGTAGAACAGCTACGTAAGTGCGGCGCCATCGCGGCTAAAGAGAAAATATTTAACAATCAAATGCGCAAGCTTGATTTAGAAGACATTTGTCAATCCTCATATAAGATATCCGCGTTCTATCAACGTAAATGGGTGAGCCGATTGAACTCAGAATTTATAGATAATTTGAGTACTTTGTTGGATGTGGAGCAAACTGAGAGTGATGTTAAAGGGTCGGCGGAATTAAATTGTTTGTACTGTGAGATGAATGCGTACGACATTATAGACATAGTGTCGACCAGTGCGCCTCTCATCACAGACGCTGCAGGGGCACCCATTATGCCTGAAGAAATAAACGTACTAGTCATCGATTCTAAGTACCGATTGAAAACGGGAACCTTGAGATGGAAAAACAAATCAAGTTTGGCTAAAATTTCTGAACTGTTTAGTCATATGGATCTTAACCATAGCTTGAAGTATTTATCCAGGTAAGATCACTCTTTATTGTTGATTTCTATTCAAAGAACACACACAGTAATTTATATTGTAATTTTGTATATTAGCTACCATTTAAAAGAAAGTTTATATATATTTTTATTGAAAGTATTTTGCAACCAGTTTCCTCAAAACTTTGCTGTATCCATTTCTATACTTTGGCTGCTTTGTGCAATAAATCAAACACACAAACCTCTTTCACAGTTACACCACAGTGGATGCTAAGGAAATTAAACAAAATGTTGATAAAAGAGATCCAATACTAGAGCGTTTGGATGAAGTAGGTGAAAAAGGAGCATCATTTGCTGAGCTACAGGTATTTTAAAATAATATTTACAATATTGTGTATCATAGTACAGATCCCACAAGATACTTACGTTTTTAAAACTATTATAACACTGAAATTATTTTTGTTTAATTCTGACATGTAATGTAACTGATACTGATAACTAAAAAAAGAATTCATGTCACTGTTTAACCTTTTAGATACTATTTTAAACTAATTACAAATATATTTTTACAGAAACTCTCCGGAATGAGTGAGAAGGAGTTGATTGAAAAATTGCAACAAATGGAAAACAAGAAAATTCTGAAACGGGTTGGCTTCTATGAAAATCTTATAGTACTACCCAAATATTTAGCACCATGGACGATAAAAGTAGGAGACAAACACATAATAATAACTCCTTGGCTAACTTTAACTGGTAAAGCAAGGCCGGATATATTTTTCAAGTGGTGTGGTGTTATTATGAATTTAATATTTGAAAGACCTGGCTGCTCAGTCTCCTATTTAGCTGATAAATGCGAGTATTTAACGTACCGATCAGCACAAGATGTTTGCATGTTCTTAGAAAAATATGAATGTATAAAACTAGCCATGGTAAATCTCCAACCAGTAGATTTATTTTCGGACGAAGCTTACGATCCTGAAATGGAGGACTTCAATCCCTATGGAGCTCCCGAAAAAATGATAGCACATCCTGTCAAAAATTGTCTAACAAAATATTGTTATATTAAGAAAAAAGTATTAGATTTGGAATCAAACGATGCTCTAATGGATAAGTTGTTTAAATGTTAACTCTCGTAAAATATATATTTAGTGTTACTAATATTTATTCAAAATAAAGACGATTATTACCTAAACCTGCATTATGTTTTTTATTAATCATGCATTATCATGCACTTCTAATAGGGGCAGAAACCACAGAGCGCCAGTCCTCCAACATCGTCACCATGTAAGATACAACGATGAAAGCATGAGTTCCACAAAACATAATAATATGTTACGTTTCTACAGATGGTACTACTAATTAACATTTCTTTTGTTACTTCCTTGGGTTGCGACCCGGCGACTCACTAGACTTCTACTGGTAGGTAGCTTAGTGTGAACTGAAGGTATCAATTAAATTAAAATATTGAGAAATTAAAAGAAAACATTTCGCTTACATACTATGATTAACTTATGTTTTTATAATAACTATCGTGAGACATACTAAATTAAGTAAAAACACGGGTTACTCACGTGAATATACTGAGAAAAGCTCTACTAGTTTCGACGTCGCCGCGACCGCGCACGCTGCTCATGAGGAAGAACCCCTCTGTGGTTCGAAACGTATATACTTAATGATTAACTTATTTATAAAAAAAAACAAAGTATCAGTAGTATTACTACACCTCATAGATGAAGTCCTCGTATCTCGTAACAAATACGTAACGCGCGCCGTCACCGATCACATCCCTGAGGACACGGCGGTGCTCAGCCCATGCAGGGCATGCCCCCACCGTATGATTGTTACACTTAGTAGATGGTTTTAGTATATTAATTAGTTTTTAAAAGAATTATTGTTACACAAGTTACAAGCACAACTTACAATAAGACAATATGAATTATTAGTTTATGCAATGATCAAACACATAAAGTGCAAATGAAACTGGTTAATGGTAATAGAACTAAAAGTACTTAATTTTTTTAGAAAAAGTTTGGCAAGTGCTAACTTTGTACACTTCATTTTAAAAAGTTAATCGTATAATACACGCAATAGAAAATGTTATTCATAAACTTTTTAGTAGGTACTTCGAAACAAAATGATCTAGGCATTCTTAGATTTTTTGTGTCAACTTGCCCTATGTGGGGCTCATAAAAGTACAAACTTAAAAAAGTACTACATAGTTTTTATGTTATTATTATAGTTTATTGGTTTAATACTTATGCTTATTTTTTAGTAAATGCATAAAATGAGTGATCGCCAAGGCCGCCGAACTAATGCCGCGCAGGCGGGTTTATGGTTAAAAATATAGGGGTCAATAAAACACGCATATCTGCCTACTCTTTCGGCAATTAAAAGGGATATCGTCTGTATCAAATCCAATGACTAGTAAAGGTAAAACGTGTTTCATCTACATACCTTGTAATTTCCTTTCATAATGGCTTCCCCTATACTTATTATTAATTTATTATTTCCCTATACTTATACTCATTGCATTTGTTGGCTCAAATTGCTTGACGTACCTATTTAATATACATTGAAGAATAAAAATTTAAATTACGCGGGCAACTTGGTTTTTCAATGAGTAACCATAGACAATATACTAGTCTGAAAAAGATAGACAACGCTATTCTCAATTTCTTAAACTTTGTCCTAAAAATTGCTATTTTTCTAAAAAACAATGCTTGAAATAAATGTCTTATATTAATTTCTATTAATATTTCTTCTCTATCCTGACTATATAACATTGATGCTGGTTACAATATTCATGGAATAAGTACTGTACTGTATAGCTATGTTAAACAAATTTATTGCTGATAAATTAGTACAAATTACGAAGTGATTAATACATTGTATGCAAATAAAATAAAAAAACTCGTATTTTTATTTTCATTAGGTACCTACTCTACCGGCGTACTACTGGCGACCCTGTCAGTCGATCGATTGTCATTTATTTAGCTTGTCTATGGTTTTTTTTCCTGTAGCAATATTTCAAAAGGGAGTGAGTGAAGTGAAGTGAAGTAGGGCAATCCAAAATTCGCCATTTTTGCTTTTAGTGAAGGGAGATTTTTTATTTGTCAGGCTGGAGGACAAGGAATATTCAGTAAAAAGTGTGTCATTAGATTTAATTTCTCGTAGCAAAGACTTTATTTGAACAGAATCTTAGTATAATAGTGTGGTTTTATTTATTACTAACGTTTGTATGTAGTGCTACTTCCCCATCGTAAAATTTGCTCGTTGGTGTGTCGCTTTAGCTAATTCAATGGCTATGATATCGAAGTTTTAATCCATCGTGTCGCTTAGACGTTCTCCTCACGGGATAATATCGAGAAAGCGAGGCGACGCCTTTAGAAATGAGCAGGCCTCAAGGCGGACGCATTCAAGTCCCGGATGACCTTAGAGAGATCTTATTGGAGTTCACCATAAGTTATCTGCTGGAGCAACCGGGCGACGTGATCAACTACGCGGTCGAGTTCTTCACAAGATTACAAAACAACAGGACGACCACCGTAGTGAGGGCCCCCACCGTTACTGCCGGCACCCCTGATGAGTCCATAATATCAGACGAAGAAGGTACTAGTCCTCTCATATTTACTATACACTTACATACTCTATTACCAGTTGACTGCGATCGATGAGGTGGGTTAGTAGGGCTACGCCAGTAGTTGCTAGGATCCTCAATCTACCCAATTGAATGCAATGTGCCCATGTATGTAGGTACCCAGCTAACAGTTCATATTGAGTTCCACATTATCAGTACTAAGTATCTTGATTGTTTGATAATATGATATCGATACATTGAGGAATATTGATACAATTTTATGTTATAAATTTTAGCCATGCACTCAAGGAAAACTTTTAATATGGAGCTCATTAATCAATCATTCATAGCAGTTGGAAAATCTCATAGTAATTGTCATGAATAAACAATTTTTAATAATCGGTTTGCCCTGGTACTGTATGTCGTATTACAGTGACCTAATTTAACTTGTGTTGAAAGACATCAATATTTGGTTGATACACATATGAAAAAATATCCATTCTCATTCAATCACTCCTCTATATTAATTTGTCATCTATTTAGTCCTTCAATAATCATTTACTCATTGAAAGCTTTTGTCCAGTACATACCTTAGGTACCTAGCTTAGTTTTAGCCAATAGTGTTACTAGCATCCTCTTGCAGCACTGTGACAAAATGATTACTGTTGCTAAATTTACCAATTTTTTTATAGACTTGAATAAAAAAAAATATAAATACAATCTTATAGCCAACATCTGTAATGATTCAATTTTTGGCATGCTGCCATTACAGTTTCAATGGTATATCATTTTATTTATGGAAAATATAGTATTTTAACTGTTGCCAAGTGATAAATTACAAGGAAAGACATAATAATGTCCAGTCTTATTGCTATCTTAAATGTTTATCTATAAAATCATATAATATTACTTAACAGTATAAACATTCCATATTTGGTAATAAATAAAGCATCATAAGCAGATAGACTATATAAGAGTGATAAAAGATAAGCAAACATTAGAAATAATAAAATCCGTTGAGTGTGAAGTGCTCAGAGAAGAGACTCGGAAGCCCAAATGTACAAGAAATGCAGGTTTTTACTTGAAAATTGTTTGGAGAGGCATAAATTTACAGTGTTTACTATACGCTGATCCTATTTGTGTGTTTGTTTTTAACGCTTTGAAGTTGTGTGATGATGAGATTGGCTTATTTTTCCATGTCCGCGGCTGAGTTTAACGTCGTGAACTGAAACAGATGTCGGCGATATACACGCGTGTTACGTAAAATTAGCTGAGCCTATGTAATGACAGGTAGCAAAGCATCACAAAAACTTGTTCAGGTGCTAACCGGACCTTGGCTTATGTTTATTTAGGAGATTTTCTCTTTCATTCTAGTATCATTATTCTGAGCAGTGTATCTGGAAACAACAGAATTATGTTTTTTTAGAGCCATTAAACTTGATGAACCTCCATCAAATGTAATGACTTTGAAATATTTTTTTTGCTTTGCTCTATGAGTAGCAACCAAAAATTGGATAATTATTTTACACAGCAGAGAGTTTATCGTAAACACCTGTTGATTAATTTTATGATGTCATACTCTCTATTATTAGCTAAAATATTCAAAAAACTGTTTACCATGGCTCACCGGATTAAACCATGTATTTCCAGTAATTTTATGCTGGTATCTGAAATAATTTTTCACAATCTTGTTCAGATAGAAATAACTTATACAATTGAAACTGAAATCAAGCTTGCTAAGAGAGTGGTGAATTTTTCACATTCATTATGACATGGATTGATGGACAATGCAACAATGGTTCACATCCTGAATTATTAAACGGTACACAATATTATCTGTGGTATAGATAGTGTCATAGAACATTCATTAAGTTCAATGCTAAATATGAAAGAAGTGTGTAAAAACATTAATTACTCTATGTACAGTGCAAAGTCATTAACATACTTAATTATAGGTTCATGTAATTACATGGTGTTGGAATTTTAAACCAGTATATTAAACACACAAAAACTACAATAAAATCATATAAAAACATATAAATACCTATAATAGGAAGGTCTACAAGTTAAAAACTTTAAATATTCATAAAAGTTTATCAGAATGAGACACAGTGTATGTTTGGTTGTGATTTTCTTTGGTGATGTGCTATTTGCTGACGTGTTCTGGCCGCAGCCCCGTGAGTGTCTTGGCGTGTTATTAATAATGCAGTTTGTTACAATGCAGGCACTGCAACACATACTAAACACTTCCACTAACTTCACTTTCTCTGAACGCACCATACTCATTACTCCTACAGGTACACAATTATTTAATCAGGCTCATGTCGCAGTACCATTTCCTTTGCGTGTTACCACAATCGATTGCCCATAAACTGCACGCCAGACGTGCAAAAAATTATAAACTGAGAATGTTGATAAACGTAATGAAATATGTACAACCATTTGTGGTTTAGCTCTTCAATGGTTTATGTTATTGCGAGTCATATATTCAAGTCGTTTTCCGCCATTCTATAACAATGATGAGTATAATTATCGTCAGCCGTTTAGCCTTCGTATCTAGAATGAGTCGCTAAATAATAGCTCACACACATAGTCGTCCATGTCCCTAATTCTATCTTGGAGATATTTCAACAACTAGGCTCGTCTTGACTGAACACGGATGCTTAATGCCATAACTGAACTCACCTTCGGGAAGCCAATAATACAATGCAAACCTTTACATGTCTACGAAGTATTGGCTCGAAGTACGTGTTAAGAATTTAGAAGTCGCGTCAATTACGTATAGTGAACCATTTGGGAAGATGCCCGTGATTCGGCAAGCAGCTTGTAAACGATGTTTGTGTTTTAAATACATTACATATGTACCTCTAACTAAACTACACATGTGTCGACCAAATCATCTGTCTTACGAATGTGTTTGCGTCATATAGTTAGTACAAATAATATGTTTCTAAAGTAAACCTCTTTGGTTGAAAATATTTCGGAACAGATGCAGCCAAACCACGTCAGGTCACATCCATAGTATGGATCATTTTGAGGCCTTAAGCACATGTGCAAATGTTAGCCTACATATTTGGTAACACAATGAAGTCCGCGCTGTACTTAATATTAATATGCGTACCCGGTACATAGGTTTGTTACTAGATATTTATAGACAGCATAAAGTTTATGAAGGCAATAATTGCGTGTTTGAACAGGCCCTTGATAGATACTCGATACGTTATTCCAGATAACGATTGAGTGTTTGGTTTGAATTTAAAATTATTAATGGTGTGCATTTGAATTATTTAAACCTAAACGCACAAAACTACGAATGTTTATTTTAATTTTGAAAGAGTAACATAACACTTTGATGCAGTTATCAGTTATAAAAGGTAGTATAAATAAAGAAAGGGTTGTTTTTATATCTAGGAAATGTATAAAGTTAATGCTTGAGACTTAGTATCATTGTAATGTGTGAACAGAGCCGCCAGTGGCGCGCTTCAACACTCGACGCAAGTCAGTGTTCGCTGAGACCTACGACCCCGAAGAAGATGACTCGGACGAGGGAGCAACGACTGTGTTCCCCAAGTCGGACGCGCAACGCCAGCGTCTCGCCGAGGCAGTGCGCAGCATCCTGCTGTTCCGCTCCCTCGACGCTCAGCAAATGCAACAGGTCAGTACTAAGGACTCATGATACAGAAAATGAATAATCTTAATGTGGCGACGTTTTACAAAACAAAAGTCCATCTTGAACAGCTTTTTTTTGTAATGAACGTTGTGGCACCTGGGATTTTCTCCTGCATTGTTTACGAACACAGACATACATCACACTGTAAACCTCAAAATATTTTGTACCTAACTAGGTATACAAATGAGTGATCTAACTAGATCACTCATTTGTATAGAAAGTTATCTCGCGCCATATTATTATAGTTGGTTGCTCAGCCGCTGTGCTAATTTTGCTATTGTAATGCAATTTTTATAATCAATCCATATAGACATGACCACTCTGTATTTCACCTGCCGACTGATGACTCAGTGGTCCACTGCAATTATTTATCTATTCTGTCTGCCCCACGGACAATTAGTTGCCAATTTATAATCTGTTCGTCCGCAGGAGATCCCCATAATACATGTCAGTTGTTGAAATTACTTAACAGAATTCTTTCGTTTTGTTTGAAAAGTTTCTTAACACATAAACTTTAAAATCTGCTTTAACGTTAATTACAGCGAAAACAATTTCTAGTTTCTTAGATTAATTGTAAGTTATGTAAAACATTAGCTTGTTTATAGCAACCAACTCTTTAATGGTTAATGTAAAAATGTTCTCATTATTCTTAGTGTCGGTAAAAGGTATATAATAAACATAGTAGAAGTATGTAGTGTTTATCAGTGTATGAATATTACATCAGTGGTGACTGCTAAATACTTACATTGTTTGCCATACCTACTGTATTTAACATATTTGAATGGCGGGTCGTGACCACGATCTCATACGTACCGACTGGCAGATGGTAACAGTTTGCTCATCTCAAATAATTTCAATATTCACTGTCACTGCGCTTTGAACTCAGTAACAGCACAAAAAATATGTATCCAAGATTAGCACAAATCGTTAGTTCAGCACACTAGGAAGCTTTTCTCGCGAACACTGTTTGCTTCACTATAAATCTTAAAGAAAAATTTCCACGAGTACACATATTATAAACAGAGTGAGTCTGTCAGCAAGATGACGTGGGTTTGCGTAGGTGCTGGACGCCATGTTCGAGAAACGCACGGAGCCAGGAGAGTACCTGATCAGGCAGGGCGACGACGGAGACAACTTCTATGTCATCGAGAATGGCATGTTCGACGTGCTCGTCACCGGAGATGATCGCATCGAGAAGGTACGTCATCGGCTAAATAAGATCTTAATCCCGTCATTCTAGCTAAAAGTAATAATCGTAGACGGAAAATTCGATATTATATCGCACAAACAGCTCTTCAATTTGACCCGAAAATAATCCTCAAATATCTCAATCTACCTACTACATATTACCTTTAAAAGGTCAGTCTGTAATTGTGTTGCAAACGTCATGTAATGTTACAGCACAGGTTAATGGCCTCGCCTTCCACATTTCCCAATGTCGTCGTCCCACCAACAAACCTCAAAATAAAAGTTCAACATGATACATACTTCGCGGCTAATTACGCGGTATTTGGCACAAAAATTTGGGCCCAAATTATATACAGCTTTCGCGTTGAACGTTTCTTTGGTTATTTGTAAAGAAAAGCTATTTCTGAACACTTATGCAGTTGTATTAAATTCAAACATAGTTCGTGTAGGTCGTAGTTATCAAAAACGTCTCAACAGTCGCTTCTGTGTATTGATCCATCGTTTGAACATGGATGTTAATTTGCCATCAATAGAAACTAATCAGAATATCGTTCTGGTCGTGACCACTTCAAAAGTTGCGAACTATTTGTCGGATGACTTCAAACGTAATATGAGATAATGCCAAGTTTTTGCCACTAAATGAAAATATCATTTGACATTCCTGAAGAAATTCTACTTACGTGAAGATAGCTGAAATTCTTGTAATATCTTTGCTTTGGCATAGTTTTATATAAATAAAGTTGTGCCGGACTTCTAGACTTGTTGAATACGAGCAACATGGGATCACTAACCTAATGTTTATCACCTGTCCCCAGCGTTGTATGATAACATACATGTGACTAAGCCCATCAATGCGAGGTTGTTACATAAACTTTTTGAAGTTCACTGTCATTAGGGCGCCTAGTAACTTACAGACGAGTTAGCGATGAGACGCGGATTAAAATAAAGATCCTATTTATCCTGTTAGCCTAAAATGCCTTACTGTAATTTTGTAAAGAAACTTGTCATCTATAAACCAGTCTAGCAGGATTTTCTTGGCTTGAGACAATAAATTACCTATCTCAACCAGGTGGTGCACACATACGAAGGCAGCGGTTCGTTTGGCGAGCTGGCCCTGATGTACAACATGCCCCGCGCGGCCTCGGTGCGCGCGCAGACTCCGGGCCAGCTGTGGGCCATGGACCGCCATACCTTCCGTCGCATCTTGCTCAAGAGCGCCTTCAAGAAGCGCAAGCTGTACGAAGATCTCCTGGAGAAGGTGCCCATGCTCAAGGCATTGCAGGTAAGTGCATCATTCCTCAGTATACCATTTCTTAAAGGTCGCATAAAATCTGGAGCTCTACTTCGGATGGCCATGGGCGGTGTTAATCACTTACCATCTGGCAATATGTATTCTACTGGGCTGGATTAGTACTATCTCATAAAAAAGAAAATATTCCTGTAGCTACTAACTTTTCACCTGCTGCCTCAATCTCGTGGAATTTACAAGATTCCTTTCGATTAGGTTCCTTTCCCTTACAAATACCGGGATAGATATGTAGCCTATGTTGTGCAAAGCTGCAGCTTTTACCTCTTCATGTATTTATCGATTTATGTTATTACTTGCGAGTTATAGTAATGTAACATTATACAAGGTCACGAACTTGAAATTACACATACCTAGTTACGATAAAGTTAGTTCATTAGTTTTATCAGGTTATTTATTTTTATAATTTATTCTACATTGGCAATCACATTGGTTTTCAATCTCTTTTAACTGTTATTACTTTCATATGAACACATCAATGTTAAATACGGGTTTATTAACAATACATGATTCTGTTATAATGCAATGCATATTGAACTCTATAAATAAGTTATTTATGCAGAAATTAATAATTTTGGTTAAGAAGGTTTTAAGCATGTTGAACTAGAACTATCACATTCATAATATTGGTAGATTATAGAACTTTAACGCCCGAATATTGAAAGGCTACTCAATCTTAAGTTGTACCTATTTAAATATCGTGCCATCTCTTTCATTTTATAAACAATTTGTAGTGACAATTAAATAAGAGTAAAATTGTTAGAGTATATGGACATAAGTATATTAAACGTTACTTGAATACATACCACTTTTAAAATGTAGGTGCAGTAGGTACAGTTGCTATCTTGATTACATAAGTGTGATTGAGTATAAACGATCGTTAGGTCGTCTAAAGTAACCTATATCTAACAAGCAATCTCCGACTGTTATCTCGATCGAAATCCTTATCAACACAGTAGCAATTTACCAGAATAAAGTACTAAACATACAAACAATTCAAGAGAATCCATTACTATAATTATTTTGACGAATCTTTTTCATATTTCATAGACAATCGGACTTTAAACTAGAGTTTTTCTCACAACAAAAAAGTTTAGCTGCGACTTGCGTGGGAATTTATGGTAACTTTGTTTCTATAGTGGCCATATGTCGTCTATACAGCCAGTCGCATTCGTAACTGACATACATACGCTTTCAAAGTGGACCTCCTTGAGCAATAAGAACTACATTTAAACGTTAATCCGTTTACTAATCTTTCCCACAACGTTATAAAACTTATATTAACGTTAAAATACAATTGTGGACGGTTTTAAATTGTTATCACAACTAATATTATAAATGCGAAACTAAGAAGTTTGTCTGTTACATTACATCTTCTGTACTTTTTTTCTACTCGAATAATAATATGCTTGAAAATTTGCATTCATAAATTGGAAGTAGGTACAGAGAACATAGACTAATAAACGCGGGCACAGCCGCGAGTAAAAAGTAGTATTCTGTTTATGTTAATGCTTAATTAAGTATTGTTTTCGCAACAGTGTTAGTAGTGATATTGTAATTTAAATTCATTAATTTTATTAAAGTTTTTGTCTGCATGGAAACTGTTTAGGTAGGTACTAGTGTATAGAAAAACTTGACTTATAAGAAACTTATGATTTGAATAATAAATATTTACATCCACTGTAATTAATAAACTTCGCGCTACGCTTCATGCTAATGAAAAGCAAAAATTCTAATTACATCTTTAGGTATGTTTATTTCGACAAAATATAACTAAATCTTAATAGTAATCGTAACACACGTCGCGGAGAACCTAAAGGGTTACCGGGGCTCCGGCTCGTCGTGCAGGAGAAGGAAAGGGGTGGTTTTTAGTCAGTAAGAGTCTGACACTCCCGCCTCACCCAGGCGGGAGCAGTTATTCGATGATTTTCCCCCTTAAAAAAAATAAAATCGTAACACACAATAGCATTTTTATATAGACAAAAATAAAGTCGTATCTTATTGAAACTTAAACCCATTACGCACTACACAAAGTTCATTAGAAATATTGAAACGAGAGTGTCACCCCTCTGAGCGTTCACACGCGAGCGGATTGGTTGCCCAGTGTCCCGAAAATATTGCCTGACCACGCTCAACCTCTACTTAGTAATCAATATATTGCCTAGTCTACACCTTCCTCTATACTTTCATGGATTTTTTAACAATGCAAGATAATAGGAAGCAAGAAACTGCTCGCAATTAGTGACCTTTGCTAGTATTAAACTGTTTTTTTTGTTTTTCGATTATAGACTTCAATCTGTGCCTTATCTACTTGACTAATGCCCGGTTGAAGGGCTAGTCAATTTTAAGTCACACTTAACCCGTCGAGCGTCCGCGTTCCTTACGATCCAACGGGTGCACACATGACATTTGGAGAAAGAAAGAAAAATAATGCATTTATTTGGCCATTGGCACACGAAAACAAGGATCATTACAATAGAAATAAAAAATACAGTCAAAATAAAAACAAAACATTAATAATATGTAGATTTTATAAAAAAGCGAGAAAGCAGCATGGAATATTTTTCTTATGATCCACCGGGTGCTCATAAGGACGCTCGAGGGGTTAAACATAATTCTGTCACTACAAGTTCTTTTTAAAATGACAGAGATGGCACGATATTTCAATACAACTTTATATTGAGTAGCCTTTCAGTATTCGGTCGACAATGACATAATTGCAGATAACTCTTATACACATTACTATCTCACTCTTCATTTAGATGTCCAAAAAAGGTAGTAAACGTAAAATTGTAATAGTCTGATGTCATAACTCAACTGCATGCTTTTCTATAATTGTTTGCCTTTTATTAACATTTTAAACTATTTACAATATGACTCTCAGATCCATGTAAGGTCAATGCATAACTAAAAAAACATGCATTACTAACACTTTGAAAAACGAACCATAAATCAGTAATAAAGAGAACTAGGTCAGTCGAATAATTATTCCTTATACGAGAATTGATTTCCGAAGCCTTGAACACTGTAGGAGGTCCATACATCGCCATTCCTGTTATCTAAAGGAAAATAACCTATTAGCTATCATTTCAGTTTTGAACAACAGTCGTGTACAAGCTGTCTCATAGATCAAGTGGTCACAAATGTGATAACCTAGCACGGTGTTCGATTTCCGGAGAGTAGTATTAGTGGGTTCCTCATTTTATCGAATTTTAGAATATGCTCTGAATTGTCACGAGGGAGTGACATGGAGTCTGGAATGGTGCCTGATGCATAACAAAAGGCATTATTCTTTTAAATAGGATTTAATATCACAGCTGGCGGAAAATGGGAGTCACATTTAATACATTCACCTTTGTCTCATAGACGATTTTTTTAACTTTGCCCCCACACTAGGATTTTCTCCTGTGTCGTGGTTGCGTTTACAAACATGGAATACAATTTCACATACGCAAGAATGACGGCGTTCTGTAGAAGTTATAGTAACCGTTCTCTAACGTATTAATTGATCTTATTAGTTCCGATAGTTATACTTTTATTGTCACGGACAAGAATGACGTAATGTTACTATGCTACGGGAGCCAATTAATCGACACTTTTCCTCCTACCGGAACAGAAAGATTATATTAAAGAAAAATAATACTAATCATACACAATACACCTACTTACCTTGTAGGTATTAATTTATATACGTTCTTTCTATGCTTATTAGTGTAATGTATATTGTACTTATTATTTATTTATACTTATTCTATTATAAAAAAAAATCATAATTAAATTCACGACATTTTCTTTCCTCTGTCTTTAACAGTGACTTTATGAGGTTCCGTTTATTCCAAGACCTTATAATAATATAGTGTTCGTTGACCTCAGGATTTCCTTATAATGAACAGACGCAAGGGACTAAAGCCGCAAGCACTAAGCCACTATGCTTAGAAAAACGGATTACCGGCCATGAGAAATAAAACGATACAGCGTTCCAAGGGAAATCTTTTACAACCGTCTACGCCTTACTATTTAGACGGACAAGCAACTTAATTGCTTTTAGATTGTAGCTCAACAAGTTGCAACTACCTAAGTTACCGCACTATATCAACACACAGATATCATAACGATTAACAAGATTACATGCAAGCAAACTAGTTTTATTTCCGCTCCAAAAACATGTAACGCCATATCGTAGTCAACGATGTCTTACGTAGATATAAAATGGTTTTCTCCTAGAATAATTTCGAAGCATATTTAATAGAGTTAATGCAATATACCTTGCGGTGTAGGGGAGGATAACTCGATGCAAATTATACAATTTATGCGTCAACCCACGCCGTAAACAACTTTTTTGCCTCAGTTTAAAACGTTTTACACATTGTACAAGCGACAATACTTGACTATTTTAAGTTTACTATTTACTATGTTATATAAAAGACATATTTCTAGTCACGATTTATTACCTCGGCCTCAGTGCGATAGTAAATGTTATTTATTGGTACGATATTACCATAACAATAACCTAATGTCGTTATGAAGCATTTTACATGTGTTTTATTATATCATATATACGATTAGCTCCGATTTGTGTCAACGTTTCTCTCCGTCCCGCAAGTTTTGCATATTTTCTGACCTATATTTCAGATAGTAGCACAGTGCCTATAGATCGCCTGGATAATCTGAAACTTTCCTGAATAATTTTGCAAACAAATGAAACTTCAATTTTAAAATGTTACTACAGATTACATTGTATTGTTGAATCATGTACAGCTATATCCTATAGGTATTGAAATCGCGTCGTCTTTTGTAGATTTACACAGACGGTGACGTCAGACGTTATTGATCTGTATCGTAAAACCATTTTCACAAATATTTTATTAGGTGACGTTTACTACGAGGATTATGATAACGCAAATACCGTTGCCAATTGAAAAGTTTAAGAAGCAATCGAATGATAATGGCCGATAGGAGATATTGTAGTAGCCAGCGTCGCGTGATTCGTGCGTACGTAATGTGATAACACTTATCAGTTAATACTGATTTAAGCTTAGATTAGGCTGTGATAACACGCCCAACGGTCCACAATGCTCTTAAATTTGGACAATTCGAATAAAGTCCCTTGGAATTGTACGGAATGCTAGACGAATGTTGTACCGGTTAAAGCCTGGTACTGAAACTAGGTCGGGTTTGAAAATTTTAATAGTGCGTATGTCGCATGTTGCCAGCCGTCTAGGGCACAAAGCTGCTAGCTCATAGAGCTAGTTCGAAATTCTTCGTAAACGGTCTACGATAATACATAAATATAGACAAATTATTTAGCGTGTAATAGTGTGCAACATGCACAAAGTGATTTAGTTCGGTATAGCAATAAAAACTAATCAGGTTGCGATTATTTTGGCATCTGTCACAATACAAATACCATGTTTTTGGAAATTTAGCATTACGTCAGTGAAAGTCTTTAGTTATTTCATCGCCTCGGTATTATTGAATAAGTTATTCCACGAAGCACAGGGCAATAGGACTTTATTCTCTAACTAAACAAACAAAATCTTTGTATTTATGTTAGTCACGGTATAGTCTCTAAATTCCTCATTATTATCGCCTATTGTGCACGCATCACAGGCCTTTGACACGCTCCTACTGTTTGTGTTTACATATTAAAACTCTTCCGACTCCGTATTTCGAAATCTTCAACTGTTGAATGGAAATCAATCGGCTACAATTCCGATTTGAGTTTTCCTTGTCGTTAAGGAAGTTTTTGATATTCGCCCTTGATCCGAGATGAAGTTGAAAAGTGTGATTTATAAATATCCTTAGCGTACACACAAGTAAAATGCTGTTATGAAGGCTAATTTGATTGAGACTTAGTCCCAATCCAGTTGAGGAAAACTGTTACTTCTATTTAAATTGGTCTCTTGCTTGTGTCTATATTTGATTCTGTCATAAATCTGAGATCCACTTTATAGTATCAATTCAATTTACTGAAAGCATTGTGTACGCTGCTTAATTAGCCGTGTGATGCCCGGTCGTGAATAGTTTACCCGTTTCTTCCTCAACGGCACACTAGCATTAAGTTCAAGTGGATGAGCAGCGGTTAAAATAGATTGCGGACATTTCCGGGGTAATAGCAAATAGATTGAATACACCGCATAAAGATTTGTAGTAAAAAGATTGTAAAGTGGCAAGGAAGTGAATATCGACAAAAGGGTCAATATGCCCGCAGATAATTAGCTAACAAGCTGTCACTAATGCACGGCTCTGCCCCAAGGAAAGGGGAGGAAGACACACACATACACACGGTGCCACAGTGCGGTGTAGGGTTTAAACGTGTCAGAGGGCACCTCTTCACACAGCCAGCCTCTATTCTGCTACAGTGTGATGAAGTGTGAAGCCATCATTATTCCGTTCTGAAACAATGTGTTTTAATAAGCAATTTTAATATAACTTGGTATGTCTCTCAAATATTAATATTACTGACAACAATAGGTTTGGGAGGCACTATAAATCATGATGTTGACGTAACAATTAAAACTATTTTTAAACCGAAATCATTATAAAAATATTTGCTTAGATTCTTAATTCTTCTCTAGGTTCCAAATTCACACTGCAAATGATAATATAAGATAAAGTCATGTGTGAGATGTGTGTAAGCACGGTCACGGCCACACAGACTATTTTAACAAAAGCATTAGACACGACACGAGCTCTGAGACAAAGCTTTGTGCTGTAATTACTCCCTCGACTTTACTCTGCACCGCACAACAATCACACAGCTTACAATACATGCTCAGTAGTCTTTAAAATGCTCCTGAACCTATTAAGTTCTTCCTCTGTCAAACTCACATTCATGCATCTTTAAATGCGCACTCGGCAGCAAATTCCCCGTACCATCTTTGTGAAGCAGTTCTCAAATTAGATTTTTCTTACTGACAACATAATTCTCGGTTTACCGGATATTACTCGAGATTGGAACTTTGCTCAGTAAACGTCCATGATTTGCTTCGACCGTATTTTATTTCTAATAGTGTACAGCGTTCATATCCGTTTATCATTTTGCAAACGTAAATCGTATTTGCTTGAAGTAAAAGTAAACATACAAATATTAGTAAATACCTTAGTGTTGTTTGAAAGGCATAAAATAGTCATCCAATTGTTTTTCCAAGTAAATCTGGCAATAAAGTGATAAAGCGCATGCTACCGTTAGTACCGTCAAAGGCGGTTGCCGTTCGTGTGTAGATAATATTGTCTGACGAGCGAGGCGAGAGATAACAACCTCCGGACGTCGATGTTCCTATCGAATTTATTCACCTTCCGGACCGAGCGTGACGTCATCGTTTTTTATCTTAAACTCACACGTCACACTGAAACTGGCGACTACGGAATGCGATAAATGTGGGATTTTTATAAATGGAGCCTTTGACGTAGCCATTCTGTTTTTCTTTTGTACAAAGTTGACATTGATATAATGATATTGATAATCTGCATTAGTAGGTATTGATACTACGCGTTGCTTTTAGTTCATTCTTACTTGAGTCTGTAAAAGTATAAGTATCCTGAGCGAGAATTTAATTTAACATGACGTAGGCAAGGATAGAATACAACTGTATTCTCTCTAACATTCCCAATACAGTCTGTTTCCCAGTACACATTTAAATAGGTCTGTCTACTCTGTCTGTTTTCTTTAAAAACATAAAACGTGTACAATTTCTCCTAAATTACAAATAGGTCATACGTCGGCGTCCAACGGAAACTTGCTCGGAACGATTCCCGGATATTATTTATTTACAATCATTTGTCAAATATATGTTCGCAATATATTATTGGATTCAAATAGAGTCTTGCGACCCACGTTTCTTACATAAATGGAGGGAAATGTGGGACAATATGGACTGTGTGTTAGTCAGTTTTTCAAATATGTAAATAGATTAATCTTCAAATACGGTTTCCCTTACAATTTATGGTATAATGATAAGTTATCTTTATACCATAAATTGTCTTTTAGCGAAAGAGAGAAAGAGAAGAGAAAAAGATATTTACCTAATTTTATATCATTTAAATATCTTGACAAAAGAAAAATAATAACATTATTTTCAAAGCCTTCAATTCTATATTGACTCAAGATTGCAAAACTAAATAGGATCAGTAACCCAGGCCTTAAACTTTGTATTTCCTTTGTCATAAAAATGCATATAAATAGCTTGTAATGTCTTGGTGCAGGCGTACGAGCGCGCCAACCTCGCGGATGCCCTGCTGCCGCGCACGCTGATCGACGGCGAGCTGATCATCCGCCAGGGAGACACCGCCGACGGCATGTACTTCGTCGAGGATGGCGCCGTCAGCATCCGCATCACCCGCGATGACGGCAACGAGCATGAGATCAAGCGTCTTGGTAAGTTACAATACAATAGGATTGATGACAGGGTATAAAAATTTAAATCTATTTTGTTCATCAGTTAGATAATGAAAAAAATATTAGCCACATATTATTCTTGTCATATAAAGTATATCTAGATAAAACGGATTTAAGTTTAAGAGTTGGAGAGCACTACGTCACACGTTCCTATTAAATATAGTAACTCGGGACGGCATAGGATATTTGAAATCAATATGTCGTCGAAAGTATTTAATAAATAAGAAGAGAAAAAAGGGTGTAATGTTTCAAATTAGTCTACCAGATAGACATTAAAATAGAATTTACGAAACTACCCTATTGATACCACTGCCAGTTATCCCACAAGATTCCTTGTGTAGCTGACTATACCTTCTCTTGTCATACCTATAAAAGAATTTGCATTTTTTGCATTTATTTCTTCCGTAGCCATCAAAATCTCTTTATGTTAATTTTATAGGTGTAATTCCGATAGTAAGTGAATGCATGGGCTAATAATATGAACCTGTTATACGTGACCGGACTGCCATGCATTTAACCAGATCTTATTTTACCACTTTTCAGTAAAACTTATAAACAAAAGGTTTTTTTAAACCTAGATAATAATAAGATTACAACACTAATGTAGGTCTAGTCAAAAATGTAGCATAAATGTCCCATCGAAATGAATCATATAATATTTTTATGTTCTTATTTTTCAAGACTAACTTGTTCTAGATATTTAGTAGTTTTTAAAACGTTTTCTCAAGTTAAGTAAATAGATACTTATTTCCGATCATGATGGTACTTTCTTCTGTTGCGAATAAATTACGAATGGAAAGAAGAAGAATAAAATGGAAGTGAAAGAAAAAGCAGCAAAATAGTCGGTAACGGTAAAACGTGAAAAAGCATACTTAGTTGTAACTTTAAAATCAAAAAACTCAAATGGTGTTTATAGGTTTTATGTGCTATCTCTAGATTACTTACATGTTTGGTTAATCATAAAGTTCAATAACCAATTTCAATCTACAAATTCAAACACTATAAAAGCCCTCACCATAGCAATACCCCAACTTTACAAGTTCCTCAATGCGGTTTGAAACCACACACAGATTCTCCAAGCCAATTATGAAAGCAAAATTAACTTGGCCATGCATGAGAGTAGCCGTGTTTATTGAGTAATAGATGCAGGACAGAGACAGCGGGGCTTGCGGGGCTTGCAACGTCATATAACATCTAACAGGCAGAGTGGTCCAATCAATAACGTATTAGTTTGCCGCACATAGTACATACTTCGCTCACCCAACCCGAAACTGAATGACGGGAGCGTGATCGATTGTTTCGTAGAGCTGGCGTACTAAATTACAATATACATAGTTTTAAAACTACTGGCACTTTCATAATTATTATAAGACTGAAATCATGAATACACCTTGAGGAAGCGTGCTGATTAATGATTAAATCTTTTCCGTGTAAGAAGAGGCTTTTGCTCAGTAGTAGACACTTGTAGGCAGATAATGATGATGCTGCTACGATACTTCTAGTTTAAAAATCTGTTTCTTTGGTTGAGACTGCCTCATAGGCCGAGTGGTCGCAAGTGCGACTGCCGGGCAAGGGGTCTCGGGTTCGATTCCCGGGTCGGGCAAAGTATTACAGGGTTTTTTAAAAATCTCAGTAGCACGGAGTTTGGAATTGTGCCCGGTATATGGCAATAGGCTCACCCCCTATTACATGAGACCCATAACATAAATAGTGAAAAGTAGGTGTTACATTGTACAGTGGCATTAAGTGCCGTAATGTGCACCTCTGTGTACCCCTTCGGGGATAAAAGGCGTGATGTTATGTACAGCTTTGAATCGTAAAAATATTCTTATGTTGGAATTTCATTTATCGAGGAAAGCTATAAATATAACATTACGCTACGAGATTTAGGAAAATTGCAAGCGGGTAAATCCACGTCGACTGTCATTGGGTTTAATATTAGTTACTAAATACAAACAGGTATTCGATTATAATTTTCTTTACACACCAATCATTCTAGCGAAACTGTATATATCTTATAAGTACTATTATATTAAGCGAAAGAGTTTGTTTTTTTATTTGATCGCGCTAATCTCCATAACTAACTTCTGATTTGAATAATTCTTTTTGTGTTGGATAGCGCATTTATCGAGGATGGCTATAAAACATCACACTACGAACAAAAGGAGCTGAGTAGAGCGTGAAACCGCGCGGAAGTAGCTAGTTTCTTATATGTAGCAGTCGGTGTACCTACGTATCTTTGTTCAAAGAAATGGACAACATTATCTCTGTTTAACAAAAACATGCCATGCTTGTATATATGTAGTTAGTTCCCTAGCTTACTAGGGAGAAATAAAGTAAAGAAAAATTTTCTAGATTTATGACATTGCATGATATACTTTGTGTATCCCTCACATCCCTCCAAAAACATGCGAAAATAAGTCTCGTCATTTCTTTAAAATATGCTAATGTTTATATACTTTGTCCTACAGAGGCTGGTGGCTACTTCGGAGAGCTGGCTCTGGTCACACACAAGCCGCGCGCTGCTTCTGCTTACGCCGTTGGCCCTACCAGGGTGGCATGTAAGTATTACTCAAATATTATCAAAGACAAGTTGTAGTAAAGGTAACCACATGTCCTTTTGATGTTAAGATAGCGGAAATGAATATTGTAACAACTTCATTATTAATAAAAATGCTTATACTCATACTGATGATACGTAAGTTATATCATACGGTTACGGCATTATTATTATATAAATACAAATTACAATGAAAAAGAAGACCGTATGTTTGCCTTTACTAGAATACATTACCCACAAACACAGATAGAAAGCGAAAACAACCGAAACGATATCCCTTTTTGTACTGACAAGACGGACATTGTGCAGGTGTTTACATCGTGGCCCGTGCCCGTAAACGTTACAATCTCGTAGACAACCGGCCTCGTTTGAATGTCGTCCACTGACAACGTCGGTGCATTAATCAACATACATTTACTACGGACGTCTTCCACCCAGTATTGGAGCTTTTGAACTGTAAACCTAAAATGATTTTAAAAAGGTCTAGAGTGATAGGTTTTAGTAGATTTGAATAGCAGTTATTAATCTACGAAATACTTCTGCCTAGCCTTCTGACTCTCCAACGAATAATGAGGTGTTTTAGAGAGTTCTAAATTAAAGACCTTTTTCGGATATCTAGATTTCTCTTAAGTTGGCAGTAGTAGTGACAAGGCCGAGGCTTTATTACCTCCTGAAAAATAAAACACTAAAGCGAAAAATCGGCCAATCTAAAAGTGATTTGGAAAGGTCTATGTTCAGCAGTAAACATCATGTGGCCATCACTAATTATATTAATTAATAATTATTACTATAATATTACTTACAGCTATCTTCCATCTTAAAGTCACTTATATCGACACAGTTATCATTATTTTGTAATTAATGGCTATCATTTGATAACACATTTTATCTAAGTTCAAACGAATCAGACACTGTGTACTTTATTAGAAACTAATCTTGATTTTGTAACCTACATATTAATATAGATATTGTAATATTACTTATATTTTTTAATAAAGTATTTAATAAGTACTTTATTAAGCCGCCTTTTTGATCTAGTGGTGGCATGTCCAACTGCAAAGAACAAGGTCCTAGTCACGTTTTCGTTCCGTTTATTTAAAAATTACGTGTACATGGCGCTTTCGCATATCCATAAAAGACCAAGATTGTAATCAAAATGTATTTTATTTTTATGAAGATAATCGTCAAGATATTTATCAATGATATTTATTTATTACCAAGAACCCTGATTGTTATCGTGTTTTCGGCATAACAAATGTTTCTTCCTGGACGATATTTATTATTTTAAAACACTAGAAAATTTTGAAAATTGAAATAATGGTTACCTTACCTTTCCTGTTTGAAATAAAATTATATTTATCATACCTATATAAAGTGCAGGAAAACTTAAAAACAAAATAAACTAAAAACAAAGGCATTACTGATTGCTATTTAAATTACTAGCAGATCTGTAACAGGTAATGTAATACTAATAAAGTTGTATTAAACATTTTAAATAGATGTTTAACTATATGTCTTGTTATTTCCAGTCCTTGACGTGGAGACGTTCGAGCGGCTGTTGGGGCCGTGCATGGAGATCATGAAGCGCAACATCGACGACTACGAGGAGCAGCTCGTCAAGCTGTTCGGCGACAAGAGCAACCTCACCGACGTGCGATGAACGACCCGCGCACGCACTCCGCGCCGCCACTTGTTTCCCTTCCACGCACCGTAATCTACTCCTCTATTCGTTCTCATCGCTTCACTGAGGTTATGCTGAATCCTCCCCTTCAACCTTTTATCTCTAAACAAACGTATTTTAACATGACAATGATATAATTTTCTTTCAAAACTTAAAGGAATATTTTTAATTGATTGATTGGTACACAGCATAACCTCATTAAATCAAGTCTGTTTGTGCTCATAAAGCCGACGGCGACGCTTACTAAATAGCTTAAATGTAACATAATTGTGCTTAACCAACTAAAATGTTGTAGAGTACAAGTACCTACACAGGTTTATTTAATATCATTTTGAAGTAGTGCCATGTTGTTTATTATATTTGAACGTAATTGTATTAGATAATATATGGATTACGCGTTGAATGGAAGGTGAAACGATGACTACATAACGAGCGCTCAATAATATTGCATTGATACAAAAATACGCTTATTTTAGATAGAGAAATGCCTTAGTAGCTAAGTATATATAAGGATCACACCGAGGAGGTGGCGGCGAGCCGAGCGCGTAGAAAACAAAATGTTGACACCAGCCCTAGTGCCATACGTGGCCGGTACCTACCCACAAACATACCGCCGCGCAGACATACAGTCGTTGTTTCAAACTTCTCACACATTCGAGTGCAATATATTTAAAACATTTGGTTGCGACCGCGACCCAACGAAAGCGTGTCATAAGTTGTTTTGTTTTCTACGGATGTCGTCACCTAACACGAACAAGTCAACATCTGACGATAACAATAAAAGAATTTATGACTCGAGGGTAAAAGGCATTAGTGTTAAACTTTAACATAAATATGTTAACGTAGTGAGTGATTACAATGCAATACTATTCGGCACTCGGCCACGTCTTATCTTGGGATATTCTCAATCGCTATCGCCATTTCTATTAACTTAAGATATTTCCACTGACACAGGCTTTTCTGAATGATAACAAAACTATATACCTAGTAGGTAAATTATATACTTAGTTGTATTTTTTATTTTTGTGATTAGATTAAATCTATCACTGTCTATCTTTATTTATTTTTTAGCTCGGTTAATGGTTTTTCGTCGATATATGTATATGGAGATTTTAATGCAAAGATCAATTTATTATATGCCAAATTATAAATAATAGATTATGTATATGTCGTTACGGAACATCTAGCGAATTTAAAATGTGTCTCAGACACGGTGTTGTATCAGGAAAAGTCTGTAAACATCGGTAGTTCGCGAGCGGGAGATTGCACATCCTAATGCAATACATATACAAACATAAAGATATGTATAATTTTATTTAGTTTGACAGAGTATTTTTATTACGATTGTTTCATAGTAATTTTGTTAAGCAAAAGGAATTGTTTATGTTATCTTTTAGTTAATTTAAATCTTCTTTTCTGTTGTAGAGAGTTCCTATTGTTTTGTTTGCTCTTTAACATTTTACATTATAATAGATCTGAGGTGTTTATCTTTGTAATACTTTTTATAGCGAACACTAAGCTCCAATGAACAAATAGTAGAAGCCCATCGTTGTTGTTTTGATGTCCCTGTCAGAGATCGGTGTATAAATTGTAACGATTCGATCAGCGGACACACGTTAGGTAGAGGCCTGCCGGCGCACTCGTCTGACCCTCAGGTACAAGTTTCCAGTATTATTTGAATTAGAAACATCCTACCACCTTATTTGTGAATCCAACCAAAGTAGGTGAGTGCGTAAATATCACGTGTAGCGCTAAATATTTAAGTATATATTTACTATGTAGTAGTTAGTTTTCGTCATTTCTTATTGTAATTTAAATATTAGTAGATTAGGAAATTTTAATGGAATATAGTCAAATCCTGAGGGGTGAGGTGTATCGTTTTTGACGCCATGTACAAAAGTGTACAAATTGATTTCAGATGCCATAGATTTTATTTAATTGAATGAATATAATACGTTACTTATTTTATCGTGGAATATAAATGTACTGCTTTCTAATTTCACTGGTTAACTAAGTGCAGACATGTTCTGTGTGGGCACATTCGTACATGTCGGCCTTCGCTTCGCTGCTTGTTGTAACTCCATAGCATTCGTTATCTAACTACTGGTTTGTTTACTTGTTTGGTTCACCTAGCTAATACATTCCCACTTCTGGTTGACATTGTATTTATTTATTTTGTTGGAGAGAATATTACTGTCCGCCCATCGATTTTGTTAAAATTAAATTTTTTACTCAAAGTGCCTACTTCCTACTACATTGACCTGGAAATCATTTCGTATTACACTCTCACTAACAATTATAATATTAATCTCGTGTTTTAACTTAACTGCCTTTTTCTATGTGAAATTGTGAAATGTGTTGTGAGATATGTGTATTTAGTGCATCAGATGTTAAACAGTCATTCAGTACACCAACTTAACATTGAGACCAGTCTGCTACGAGGACTGCGATATTACGAACATCAAAATATTTGACGTTCAAGCCCATCAGTAACTTGTGCAGCTTGAAAATGACGAACGATAAATATTTTGACTTGCAAAACAAAGCTAGTTTTTTCAAATAACTATACTGATTCCACTGTTTATCCTTGAGCACTGGTTAATTTGATGAGTGTGATGTTCGGTTGGTTTCCTATATCGATATCGTGTACATGGTTGGTATTGCTGTGTATAACGTTGTGTTTGTTACATTGTACAGGTGAGGTGCGTCACGTGTCGTCACCACATAATATGTCTGTGTGTCCCCGTATAATGAACCCAGTAGTTTATATTATCGTGCAATAATAACTAATAACTGTCATTTATCTATGTCGTTTACATCAATATCATGTGTTAAATTTTGTCTGTGTGAAATTTATTTATATAGAATTTAATAAAATAGAATAAGATACATGTATCGCTCTTAATACTGATGTTTAAGAATATTCACCATCGATTCAGTAGGAAACGCTAATCAAATTACACTTGTATATTCAGTTTTTTATTGAAAAATAATCGTCACGCAAGTTTAACGTTACATAGAAGCACAAATGTGTAGAATGCGTGATTCGATGGGAGGTTTTCATTCTGTTGTCTTCCATGGGACGCACAGAGCCGTAACTCAAAGATCCCAACGCATCATTTGGAGCGCTATTATATGCATTCTCTGCCATTACTGATGTAAAATTAAAATTCAATACGCTTAACCGTAGCGTAATTTTTTATAAATTATACTAGTCATTGGTGTCTAATGTAGATTTGTAACCTGACAGCACGTTGGAATGGAACATTCTCCATGTCTCACTCACTGTAGCTGTAAGTCGTCATACCTGTTCCATACAAAGTGAAAGCATATCAGCGTCCTATTCTATGCACCACATGTGTACATCCGGTAGCCAGTTGAGAACTAGTACCGCTTTTCCCACGTCATGAGCTTACCCTGTACATTTATAAAAATTATGTATCGTAAAATGTTAGAAAACTGAATTATATTTGTTTGTAGATCTAAGTGTTGTTTATTTTCTATCCGAACCCCTTTTATTAGGTACCAATATCTCTTGGGTGGATACATTTTGTACATTGTGTTATTCACGATCGTAGTCTTTTTTAGTAGTCCTTTTTTTTTCTTAGACAACATAGCTACGTTTTTGCAGTTACATAGTGATTCCTGAAGAAAATGTCTTTCTCGTTTCTTTAGCAACGTCTATTGTCAATCTCAAAAGCTAGGGCACCCAAATAACATCTGAAGGTGTCTTCTAAAACCTGTAGTTGGTCCTAAAGTGACTGACGACAATAATTGATATCTATAATAGCTAATTTTTGTATTAAGTATCTTCTGCTATATATAAAAAATTAGTATCCGTTCGTTAGTCTCGCTCAAACTCGAGTACGGGTGAAATGATTTAGCAAATTATGTCTAGAAATTTTCGTGGAAGTCCAGGGAAGGTTTAAAATGTGAGAAAAACAAAACCTGGTGATATGGTATGCTAAACGCTCACTTGGTAACATGTAGGTCCAGCGTTCTTAATTACTCTAGTCATGAATGGAATTTGGAATTAGTTCGAAATAAAATTACTCCATGTTTAATAAGTATCATTTATTGATTTTTAATAAATTATGGACCAAATTTTCAATGTAAGATACACACACTTACACAAGTAATTGTACTTGGTAGGTACTTTAAATATAAAAAAAACAAATAGAAAATAAGAAACGTTAATACTTGAAAACAACACTTATTTATATTATTAACAATATTTATAAACTAAATCGACAAGTTCCCCCTTTCGCATTCCTGTCATAGCAGGTAAGTGGGGTATTTCTTTGTATCTCAAAATGTCTTTCAATTGAGCAACTGTATAATTTTCAATTGCATTATTCTCAAGCCTTTCCTTCAGTAACTCTTCATCAACACTTACAGAAAGTTTTGCCTTTTTGCTTTCTGGCCCACCACTAGATGATGCTGGATTTTTGAGAGGTCTGGAGGTGATTGCAAAAGGACCAAACACCTCATAAAATAAATCATCTTGGAGTCCTTCAAACCTCTTTGCATCTGGTTTTGTTGTATCAATAAAGGGCTCGACATCATCATCTTCTAAAGCAATTGCTTCTATGGCATTATAAAGTGATTGCCTTTTAGGATTTTGGAACATATCTGGTTTATAATCAAACTTTAATTGGTTTAAAATATCTTTCATGATACCTTTATCTGTTTTTGATATTTTTTCATCATCATCATCATCTTCAATAATTGGTATATTTCGTACATTTTCCACAAATGGTATACGAATGACATCAAATCCTAAATCCACATTTAGGCCACAAGGTCTTGAAGTGGGAGACAAAGCTACAATAATAGGTCTGGCATTAACTCTAGTGCATAACACGCATATTGCTACTTTATTCATTTCTGTGCAAGCTTGGTGTAGGGCTTTAAATGCAACAACAGAACCTTCTATTATACTTTCACTGGGAAACAGAAAGTAATTTGATTTCAAGTACCATTTTTCTTTACGCATAACACTGTTAGGTTTGAATCCAAGAAGTTTCAATGTGGGTGGTCCAAAAGGATTTCCAAGCATCTTTTTTTCTTCAGCAGTAAATTCTATGTTTTCATCACCATACTGAAGACTATAAAGCAATTCTGATTGAAGTAATGGTACTGGTCTTGATTCAGTTTTATCTTGTTCATCAACATCCATCTCTTCTTCATTATTTCCAACTTTGCTTTTCAATGTTTTATTCACACTTGTAAGTACAGCATTGGTATCACTGTCTAAATCAGATTTTTTCATTTGTGTATCTCCATAGCTCTTTAACAGATTATATACTCCCACTCCAATAGCAAAATCTTTTCCAATTTCAAAACTTAATCGAGCAACAGCTAAATTGCGATGTGACTCCATATACATCAACTGTTCTAATTCTGTGTGATTTGAAATGGGTTTGGGTATAATCACTTCATCTTCTTTGGTTGCTTGTATTAAAAAGTTAGTATAATAAGGATCTACCTCATAATCAGACTCGGAAATGTTGATAAGATTGATTTGTATATTTGAATCAACCAAGTCAGCAACTCGTTTAAGTGAAGGTTTTACATCTGTTGGTACTGGAGGTATATCAAGCCGAGACAGCATTATAACAGTGCGAGTCGAAAGCTGTTTTTTACAACTTGCAAATGCTTTATTACAGTACCAAAGAACATCCGATAGTGTCATTTCTTTGGCTTCTTTTAATTTAGAAATATCAATTTTTCGGAGTTTGTTATAAGCATCTACACTTGGTGATGATAGTGGAAATATCTCTTCAACAGTTTGAATGCTTAGGACTGAAGTGTTGGACCCTTCAGTGCCATAGACGCAAACACCGATAAGTTGAGAACTTGCTCTCCTCAAGTACTGACGCATCATTCTACAAGTAGCTGTGTGTGCCACCTGCGCTGAATACGCTTTACAAGGTCCGTAGATATTGATACATATCAAAGTAGCAGGAATACCTTTCCATGATGAGATTTGTTCAGTTTCTTCGTCCGAACTCATCTTGATGAAATTATTCGCACAAGGGTTGGGTTAATTGTTAATGTAACACTTATAATTTGTTTTAATCAAAATGCTTTACTTTTTATATCTTGTGGTTATGCAAGTTTAGGCAAGTTCAACTGAATTACACAAACATGTATCAACAAGTTTCAAATTCGAATTGTTGACAGAAATGACAGAATCTAATGTTTTGACATTTCTTGACAATAACAGCATTGACGTTTAATATAAAAACACGATTTGATAAAAAATACAATAATTAAACGGAATAAATCGTGTTTTTAATCATTATGTTTTAAAAACACGATTATATTATATTTTAAAGTAATTATATTTTCTTGCGTTAAATTTAACTTCAATTTAACTTTAAAATATGATTATTTTACAAACTTTTAATGCATTGGTATTATTATAATTAATAATTCACTAAAAATATATTCTATAATAAATTAATAAAACTGACAAAAAAATCAGTTCCGAAATTGTACAATCAATTGCATTGTATTGTTGCTGTCCTTGTCTGTTTAGTTAAATTATGGTGACTTCACATTGCAATAAAAAAAACATTATTTATTCAGTAACTTTATTACAGAATATCAAGAATGAACACTGCACACAAATAGTGGGAATGCTTATAATATGTAGTTTAGGGACACCCCACACAATAATATAAACTCTATATAGGTTCGGGCTCTCTACTATACACCTGCATTATTTTCTCCATTATCTCCCAATTCTTCTCCTTTTGTAAATCTTTGGTAAATACCTGAAAAATAAAATATATTAAGTAGGTATAGTTGTTAATTTTGGGCAATAAGTTTAAGTATGTGGAAATGAAAATTTTTATTTAACAACAAGATCTTTCGGCAATGGCCATAAAAATAATTTAATTAATTAAATTACCCACTACTTTCTTTACATTATTTAAAGCACAACTTGAGTTTATAAGACTTGTTTGTCATAAAGCACTACTTACCGAATACCATGCAGCATCATCATCTAATGTGGAGGCCAATGGTACCGACACTCCCAAGACATGGAGTGCCAGAGTCAAACAAGCTACTGCTACATGAGGAGCTCTGTACTCTAGAATAGATGGGGAATGGTGGAAGTCTTGCAAGAACGCCATAGCAGTGCGAGCAATGGGGGCAGAGCGCCACTGTGACGGTGGGAACCATTCCTGCAGCGTACGCAAGTAGTGAAGGAGGTATCTGTGAGGAGATGGTGCGTCCAAGTTGAAGCCGAGTAGTCGCAGCACTAGCAACTCTGCCTGAGCAACAGCTCCCCGCCACGACCAGTACTCATCGCCCAATTCCAAAGGCCCCGCACCACGGTTGATAGAATTATGTGCAACATTCACTGCATCTCTCAGTCTCACAGGTTCATCTCGTGACTTCCCCGCCGCACACAAACAAGCAGTACAAATCACGTAGCAATCATAATCATTTTTATCAGCTTCCTTAAAGAATTTATGATAAAATATAGCAGCTGTAGCTACAGTCGCCGGTTGTAATCCTAGTTTTATGCCACACTCAAATATGAAATTTGTTGCTAAACTATGACTTGGAGCACTACGGTAATCAGGTAATCGTCTTTCTCGTCTACTACTCTGTAATGCCATCACATCTATTACGTCTTTCATAGTGTTCAAAAGTTAATTATTGGTCTTTATTGAAAATAAATCTTGTTTGTTTTTTTCGTCGCTCGCTAACAACAAATTACAATTTAAGGTTAACCATAGACAAATCAGACAAACATTTTTTTGTCATATTTGCTTATGTCAACCTTCTATTATGCATAAACAATCCAACTGTGGGAGGTCAAAATGCCAATAAAAACACTATTTTTTATGTAATATTTCATAGCAAATATAGAATAATAAAAATCGCAAGGAGTTAGGAAGGATTGGTCCTACTCTAGTATTTTTGAAAATCTAGCAATATATTAATATCCAGACGTCGTAACTAAAAATACATTTTCGAATTTCCCTTAATATTATTACACCATGTTTCGCCTTTCCTTAGAGACTGGTCAAGTGCCGGTTGCATGGAAGCTGGCCAACGTGCAGCCTGTGTCCAAAAAAGGTAGTCGTACCGACCCTAACAATTACCGCCCTATTTCGGTCATGTCCTTACTTTGCAAGATTATGGAACGTGTACTTAACAACAAACTCCTGGCATACATTGAAGGTAACGATCTCCTCAGCGATCGGCAACACGGTTTCGACGTAACCGATCGACTAGACACCTTCTTGCGTATGCCAATCACATCTGGAGCGAGGCCATCGAGAGGCACGGGGAGGCATTGGCAGTCTCCCTCGATATCTCGAAGGCTTTTGACAGGGTATGGCACGAAAGTCTTATCGGTAAGCTTCCTGCATATGGACTTCCTGCTGATCCTGGCTCACAGCTTCAGGATCCTGGCTTACAGGAGTTGCAGCGGTTTTGGGAGGTTGTGGCGGGCTTGTCCCAAAAAAAAAAAAAAAAAAGGACTTCCTGCTGATCTGTGCAGATGGATAGCAGACTTCCCGCGAGATCGGTCAATACGAGTAGTCATCGATGGCTGTCCCTCAGGGGTCAGTACTTTCAGCGACGCTCTTTTTGCTGCACATAAACGACCTGCTTAAGCCCGGTATCTTTGGGTATGCAGATGACTGCACAGTTGTTGAAAGGTAAATATCCGATGCGCAAACTAGCGGAACACAGATCCGGTCTCTAAGAGAATCCGTGGTCGAGCGTTTGAACTCGATCTTGAAGGCGGTCTCCGACTGGGGTGATGCCAACTTGGTCAAATTCAACGCTAGCAAAACCCAGGCGTGTCTATTCTCTGCCAAACAGAGTCAATTTCCGCTGACTCCTACTTTCCGGAATGCATCCGTTCCGATAATTTAACAACTCGAGCTTCTTGGCGTAACTCTGACGCCCACACTCAACTTTGGCTCCTATATAGAATCAAAAGCGCAACTAGCTGGTAGGAAGCTGGGTATCCTATGGAGGGTGAGAGTGTGAGACGGTACTTCACGCCGAAGCAATTGCTGAGCCTGTACCAGGCGCAGGTTCGGTCTTGTATGAATTGATGTACTGCTCTTATATTTTGGACGGCTCGGCCAAATATCAGCTGGACGCGCTAGAGCACATCGAGAGGCGTGCCAAGAGGCTCATCAACAATGATGCGCTTGTGGAGGCCCGGCTTCAAAGCCTCGAACACAGACGTAAGGTTGCACGCCTTTCAATCTTCTACCGGATACATTTCGGAGAGTGTGCGGGGGAATTGCACAACTTGATTCCCCCTAGTCCTTTCCATCATCGTACCACAAGACAATCGGCGAAGCGTCACCTATTCATGGTAGATGTCGCACCCACACGCACGAAGCGCTTCGCATCAAGCTTCCTTGTGCGTACTGCTAAGGAGTGGAATTCTTTGCCAGAGTCTGTATTTCCTGAAGGGTATAACCTGGGTGTCTTCAAGGCCCGAGTGAATAAGTTGCTTATGGGTCGACGTGCTCCATCGTAGGCATCTCCATCGTAGACATCATCGCTTCCCACCAGGCAAGATAGTGGTCAAACTTCAGTCCCATTTAATATAAAAAACCCCAAGTCCTCGTTTATCATTACCTAATTGAGGGCCAGAATGGGAATACCCTTGGCCTGCAATGAGTCCATTTACAAAATACCAAACAGATTTCTACGATTCAAGTATTTTTACAGGATATAGGGTATTTTAGGACTAGCCTTGTCCTTCTAGCACAGCCGTATTATATTTCAGACAAGTGTCTAGGGGCACCGGGTTACACAGGGGCGGCGTAACGAGATGCGCGTACCCAACTGCTTATAGAGTGACGGCGGCGTCAAAAACCATGGGATGCCTATGAGGTGCTTACTTTGAGCGCTCTCTATGTTTAATCCGCCTCTACCAGAAGTATAATCCTAGGCTCTCTAAGCTACAATAACATAGCTATGAGAAATTTTAAAAATATTAGGCGAGACCTATTTTATTATTTATTCCTTTACTGGTATTGGTACAGACTACAGTAGGTTGGTCACGAAGGTCCCAGTAAAGCTTCACAGTATCAAGACGGTGATAGTGTGGCATACAAGGTCTGCAACTCTGTATGTAGGTATTGATTAATTAATGTACTGTAGTGAAGGATTCTTTAAATATTAGCACAGATTTCGTGACAGGCAGGGGCGGATGGAGATGGAGCCTTTGTGTGGCCCTGGGCACCAGGATTTTTTTTCTGATACGTAACAGAAAAAATACACAGCACCTGATAATATAAGTATTCATCAATACCTACTTAACTAATAAGCCTTTCTGCATTTTCGCTTCGACGTCTGTTACCGGTGCCCGATGTTGGTAGTTGATACATGACACTGCCAACTGCTTAAACCTTCTGAATCTCATCACAACTGATCCAGACCGCTAATACTCGGTACCGGTACGCCTACTCGGTGACAGTTCTATTCCCGACCTTGAGGTGATGAAATTCTAATATAGGTCGTTCCCAAACGTATGTATAATTTTCCAACTAGTATTGGTTGCAAACAAGGAATGCGTGTTATGGGGAATAAATAAAACGAACATTTTATTTGAACATAAAAATTAGAATATAATCATTTTCAGTAATTATTTAAAATTATACACTTAAAGTACATTTATAGTAAATTCAATAAAAAATACCAGTGCAGACGAGATACAAATAAGAGAAAATATTGTTTATTACATCGTTGGTTAAATACATCGCTTTCAGTAAATGCAATACAAAACATAAGTCGGAAAACAATGAAATTATACTTGAATGTCACTCGATATAGAAAAATAAAGATAAGATTGAATCACATTCAAAAATTACCCACTAGTGACTAAAAATTTTACTTTCTTAAACGTTTGTTCAATAATCGGGATCGCTCGGCGCCGTGCGGGCACAGCGGCGGAGCCGGGTTGCGCCCTAGCGAGCCGAGTAGCCGAGTACTACTCGCGCGCCGCGCGCCGAGCGATCCCTCGCACGCGCTAGAAATAAATGTTTACATGTTCATCAATTCTAAATAAGATATTCAACATTGTACTCAGCTCAGTACATAGAGCACGACACTACACGCGCCGGGCCGCCGCCGGCGTGCTGCGCCGCGCCTCCGCCCCAACCGCGAGTCCCATACTATTTAGTTATCGAAGAACATACAGTAGGTATAAATAGTGAGGTTAGTATTAACTTTGGCAAATATGAATGAAGCATGGTGAATTGTTTTAGATGGACAACATCTCGACAATACTCAGCGTTAATATTAAAAATTATACTGAACGTCGCTCATTTCGCTAATACCAACAGTAGGATGTTGATACAGGTAGTCTTCGAATTATCTCATGCCACATCACAATTAGAATAAGACGTATGCCTCAAATCCGATCACTAAACGCTACTCTCTTAAAAAAACTTTGCAATAACTTCCCCAGTTGTGGATCTAATAAAGCGCGAGAATATTTGAGCCGCAACAATTCAGTCTTCAAATAAGAAGCCAACGCACATCCACGTCCGAGCGCGCTCGCGTCTGTACGTCTGTACTCGAGTACTTGTGCGCACTGTTTGTGTTCAGACAAACATGTTACATGTGGCTTGTGCGATTCGTTCACTGTCTCAAATCTTATAAACTAAATGTGATTCGAGCGAATAAACAATGCGGCAGTGTACAAAATTTACATCACATTCACTCGAAATATAAGCATACAAGTTAAATGTTCTGCGGCGGAGGAACACATTCAAATGCAAACTGTCGAGAGCTGGCGAGTGGCGAGTGGCGAGGGGTGCAGGCGGCCCGTCATGTCGCCAAGTCACCACTATGGCACTACTCGGCCGCCTCGCTACCTCGCGCGCCGAGACCCAGCCGTGTATGGGGCCTTCGTATGAAGACATCGAATGATTATATCCACATCGTTCACTCATTAAAAAAACTTTTTAAATGTAACGTGAAGCTTACTTAAATGTAGGTTGAATGTAGAACTGCGCTAATATTATTTTTATTAGTTTACGTACACATATTGTTACATAACAGTAAAAAACCTACCTAGCAACAAGCGAGCGGCGGACGCTCGAGCCGCGGGCCACTACCATTCGTTCACGATCCGGAGATCAAGAGCAATTTCTTTATCTAACAAACTATTTATCAATTGTAAAACAAGGGTTGCGAGCTTTATTTTAGAATCACGTCGTCACGTCGTCACTAGCAGAATCAGTTTAGATACCGGGTGAGTGAGTAGTGGCAGGAACAGTGAACATTAACAATATCTTTGGTCTTCAGCTCGCAGCAGGTGGCCGTGGTGAATGGCCCGCGCGGTCACAGTGTAGGCGTACATTTTCATTTAATCACTTTTTACATACTCATAAACGTAAAATGAAAATAAATCACCTAACTATGACAATAGTAAAGGTTACTGTCTAATTGCATTATTAATTAATGTTTATTGATACAGTTACTGTCCTAATGCTTAAAAGTAAGATTTTTATTTTATTATTAATAATAAATTATGTTATATAGTATATATAGTGTTTGATTACGCCAATTCGCGAGTGTATACAAAGTTTATATACTCACATATCTTACACGAACAGAGTCGGGACACTAGGGGCCGAGGGAGTGGCACAGTGGCGATATATGTGCCCACCCCGGGCCTCGGCCCACCTCAACGTACCACTAGCTGTAAATACACGTACATAACTGCTTAGGTATTATATAAATGACACGCCGCGCTAACTTCCTTACCATTACAGACTCCAGCCACTTCACAAAATAATGACGAAGATTAACATGATCATAAACATTGGTTAATTACCTTTTAATATAAAATTAAACATGACAAGTTTACATATACCACGTTTAATACAAGTACTCTAGATAAAATAAATACCTAACATGATTTCAATAATTGAATACAAGAATAGATCTTAAATGGCTACACCTTAAGGATTACTGTAAAATGATATAGAAAAATATGAACACAAAACAAATCAGAATTGTATATATGGCGTAACAAATGAATGCTCTTACTGGAATAAATAATTTGTGCGTAATACGATGCTAACTTAACATAATAACATTGGATGACAGGACTTAGCTTACACTATGCTCGTAGGTACGTAACATAAACGACGTCGTCTTATTCCATAGAGCGGTACAGTTGTGCATTCAAAAGTTTATAAAAAATAATTTCTCATTATAAGTGATATAATACTTAATAATGGAATGATGTTTTGTAATCAGTTTAAGTAGGCCTGTGAACGTATTCATGCATCTCACTACCGTGTTTTATTCAATACTAAATATTGGTTCCTTTCTGTGTTTGGTCCGTAAGAGAGTGAGTATATAAGCACATATGTTACCGGGGCTCCGGACTGCCGACAGGCGCCGCTAGACCGACCACGTCCGAGTGCCAACGAAACACTATACCGAATGCCTAGCACCAAAATTTAGAATTGAACACTAGATCACTAATTCACATTAATCGAAAACGACCCCGACGCGAGCGCCGGGACAATAACCAAACTACGGTTTTATATTACAGGGGGAAACGAAACGCTACCTGATAGTCGGATCTAGTCGCACACTGTCGGTGGGAGCTGTCGAAATCATACACAATGCCCCAAGCCATGTGACACATGATATCTGCACATCGGCGGTATATCCAGTAAGCTTACTTTCCATAAAAATATATAGGTAATTATAATACGCGTAGCTGCGGCGTGAGCGAGCCGCGACGCGGCCGCGGGAACGTGCGCGCGGAGTGCAGCGCTCCGCCTCTAGTACAGGCCGCAGCCGCGCAGGTTGTTGGCGATGATCACGTCGGTCACGGCGTCGAACACGAACTGGATGTTGTTGGTGTCGGTGGCGCACGTCATGTGGCAGTAGATCTCCTTCGTGGTAGACTTGTTCTTTGCCTCGAACTGGGCTTGAATGTACGCCGCTGCCTCGCCATATTCTTGCGCACCTGATGATCAAAGCAAAACAATGAAGCATATCAATGTCCATTAATGTTTTAGCACATTATCTCTGAATTAGTGAAACAATAGAGGTCAACTTACCCGTGTACTCGGGAAAGCATATAGTGAGCGGCGACTTGCGTATTTTCTCCTCGAACAGATCCTTCTTGTTGAGGAACAGGATGATGCTGGTGTCGGTGAACCACTTGTTGTTGCAGATAGAATCGAACAGCTTTAGACTCTCTTGCATACGGTTCTGAAAAGCAATAATAAATATGTGTTACTTCAAAGCTACAAAAAGAAAAGTGAACAAAATAAACACACAGGGTTGTTGATCCAAAAATGGAACAACTGAGGTTAGAAAAATGGAGAGCCAGTGTGTAACTTGACAATGGGTTTTGTCCACATGAACGTACAAGCAATTTCGTTAAATTATTGTTTAATAAGCATAAACTATAGTAAGTTTACTAAACCCATTGACAAAAGAACATTTCATGGTGAAATAGATTTTTGCTAATGTTGATAAGAAACAAACACAAATTTAGTCAGAGATACAGATGTGACAGCCAATAACTTAGAAGAAATACTTAGAAAATGAGCATGTCACAGCTATTCATCAGCAGCCTATATCCACTGCTGAGCAAAGCCTCTTCTCACATGGAGAAGATATAAGCATTAATCACCACGCTGGTTCAAGCTTGTCTCAGCTATTATTTGATTAAAGATAATAAAAATTAATATTCACCGTTGTCTCATCCTCGTGCAACACCTGGTCGTACTCGGACATGGCGACGCAGAATATGATCGCGGTCACATCCTCGAAGCAGTGGATCCATTTCTTTCTCTCAGACCGCTGGCCACCCACGTCGAACAATCTGGAAGGAAATTATACGAATGCGTTAATTTTTTCTTTTGTACATACATATTACATCATGTCACATAAGTCAAATAGAGTTGCACATGGTATTGCAACTTTTCGCAAGTTCTGAATCCCATTAGTAGCCAAATCTAACCAGTCAATATTATTTTTATAGACTGAAAAAATTAAACGCTGATGGAGTTTTATGTGTTTTAATTTTAATGTAAAATTTTCAATCATCAATAAACCCAGAATATTATTTCACATCATGAACTTTCACAATGAAGCAAGTGTTAGTTTTCCATATCATCCACACTCCACTGTGTATTAACTCATTACCCAAGTGTTACATCCTACTAATATTAAAAAGGTGAAGTGTGTTTGGATGTTTGTCATTATTTGTCAGAAATAATACATAATAGGGGTACTTTTGGTCCAGTTATTCAAGTCAAGTCCTGCAAAAGTTACGTCATTGAGATTTTTAATATAATGGCTTGATTAAAATGATTGAATACTCACTTGAAATTAAGGTTTTTGAAGGAGAAGTGCACTTCGACGATGCCAGTGGTTTTGACTCTAGTCCTTAAAATATCTTGTTCGGTGGGCTGGTAATCTCTCGCACCTAACCGGTCCAAGTCGTCCAGGAAACTGGAATAGACATAACACACCTGTTAGAAAGTCACAATAATCATACAAAAAAACATCCAATATCTCATAAATCTTAATAGAAAATTATTTACATTCATAAATTCTTATTTTAGAATCAAAACATCGACCGACGATTTCTATTTTAGACCAACATTCGTAAAGGATCAATAAATCAGGCGAGACCGCGTCCACAAGCTAGTTTCGTGGATAGTTTAGTATTATGACATGAATATTCATAATTCAGTTAGCGACGTAACATACGATTGCTTGAAGACAATCAGACTACAACGTGTTAAAAACTTTTTTGTAGCGGTTTGGCGTAAAAAGGCATTAAACGCTATATAAAAGTAATCGATTACGCTTCACATATTTCGTTATAATCATGCGTATCGAGTTTGTCGTGTAATCGATTACAGTACCCTGCAATCAGCAGGCTCGAAATATAACAGTTTATTTACAAACAATCAAATCGCTCGGGTATTTGAACAACTTGGGGTGGATATAATTACGTCGTTAAAGTTTTTTTTTCCAAATATTACTAAAGCTTTGTTAGAACGGTAATTTTGTATGTGATTTCACAGTTGATTTTGTTTTAATAGAGTGGTTTAAGTTTTATTTCAGTACGTAAATCGTTGTTAATTATTGGCTGAGTATTATGAACTCGTCCAGCTTTTCAAGCTCATTGTAAGCATAGAAATTACAAGTATATATTGGGTACTTGAATTTACCCTATGTTTATAATGTAATCAAGTTTGTAATAACATAAACACAGCCACCATACATAAACTTCATCACAAACCATTATTTTTAAAAAACGTAATAATATATTTTTTATTTATTTAAGTTTTATACAATTGCATAAGGAAGACTTAATGCTAACAGCATTAAGTCTTAAGCATGCTAACAGCATTAAGCAATATAATGTCGTTCTTTTTACCCAACTAAATGTTCAAGTGATAATTTGTTAAAAAAGATACCCAAACACATCTTCCATTACTATAATTAAACTGTCAAACACCAAGCGGTCACCGGTGACCGCGACCTATTGTTCTTTAATTGTGTCTATAAAACCGGTACTCGACGAGTTAATATTTGTAAGTAATAAATTATAATAATATTTGTAGGTAACGTGGTACTCGTCACGCATTCTGCCTTGTGTCATCCGTCCGACTCCCTTTGTGCAGTATACAATTAAATATTTGTATACTCATTTGGCAAGTATTAAAAAATTCATTGTTACTCCTTACGTACGTACCGCAGTACAATTAGAATTCATTTCAATAATATATATGAACATGCTTTTGTAGTTTACGAACGAGGATGCATCATTATACTTGTGAATGTAGACGATGAGCAGTTTTTATGTCCAAGCATATTTTAGAACATCTTAGGTTTCTGCTTACCCCCTTATGAGAAACAGAGAGATTGTTTGTTTGTGGGTGCTTATCGTTTATTGCTCGTTATTTTTGACAATTGAACAAACAATCAAAATTAAATGTTAATAATAACAAATAGAAATCGGATATCCCTAATAGTGTTAGGTACATAATAGGTATCTACCACATTAACCGGAATAGATCAATATAGAAGACGGTTTGGGGAAAACCCAAGGCATCTAATATTTTATCCGTGAATGAAACAAATATTATGAGAAATAAATGGTTAATTATTTAATTTATATAAAATTATAGAACCATTCTTGTTGAAGTTGAATAGCATATAAATAATTACAACCAAATTCAAAGTGTGCGTTGATAGTACGTTACAATACATTTAGCATTCATAAAGAGGTAGGAAGCATTAAGTTCAATAACAGTGCTAAGTTTTATTGATTATTCCGCAAGGTATGGCAGGCACCAGCAGACATCCGGCCGGCCACTAGTTGCAGTCCTCGCCATCGCCACGCTAAACGATGCCCGACGCCATCGCATACATATTAACGAGTTACGAACCCTAGACACTACCACACTCCTACTTCACATTGACTGACACTCCCCAATACAAACAATTTGCTAGTAAACATTATTATAGATAAAAATTATTTCCAAGAAATCATAATGTACGCTTTACCTTGAAGAGAAAGTTAATTACCGTTCATGTTAATAGCAATCTATTTCGAAATGTTAGTCCTTCGCACAAAATATAAAGTTGTATAGGAGTCGTGTACAATGACGTCATAGTCGGGAACCTTCATTTTCACGGCAGCTGGCACACGTGCAGTTTGTGTAGTAGCGTTGGCTCTTCTCGTAAATCGTCACATAGACCGGTCCATTGAGTAAAATGCTATAATGGCGTCGCCTGGCAACGGATTAATGATATGGGATAATCTTATTTATCGAGGGCGTTTGTTGCCCTTTTAATTGTTTTCTGACGTACTAACAAATGTAGTTAATAAAGATATACTTAACTTTTAATGGATAACTAGTGACGTAAAATAAAAAAGGAAGAGTATGATGATTGCATTTTATCTACTACATAGGTCTGATGACTGATAGGAGAAGTGGTCAATGTCACTGGATCACGAGATGGTGCAGCGCATGTGAGTCAGTCCGTGACGCCATCAAGTGGTCGACTTTACCGAGAAACGTGACTTTGAACTCCTTCCATCTCGACTGAGATTAATGACAAAACAACGCGAGTGTTCGCTCACATAACAATCTAATCAAAAACCCATGCCTGGCAAAATATTTGATAAAAACACTGTTGCTTCTGAATCATCGTTACGTTGATGGAAAAATGTTGAGTTATTCAAGTCTTATAACGCTGGCATGACACGAACAAGCGTGGATTCAGTTGTTAGATCTGTTATTTCTTGATATTTTTATAAAACAGAAATGAAACACCGGTAATATTGTTCATTTCAATTGCAAACCTGATACCAAGAAACCAAAACCACAATCGACCTTCAATGTTTCATCGGCTGTAAATAAAAAATCTGCAATAATACTACCATTATGAATATTCATAATTTATTGTATAGGGGCTTATTAAAACTCGCATTTCAAATAGGTCAAACTATCTTAATTGCAAGCGGGCATGTATCGAAGTCGTAGTTAGTGTTCGTGTGAAAGGCCAACTTTGACACGACACACGATAGACCGGTAACTCCCAACCTAATGAAAAACCACGTTGGCTATTCACGCAAGCCTTTGTACACTGAAAAATTATACGTTAACTATTTGGATACATAATCAAGGCGATTATATTGAAACGAGTTTGTGAATAATGAAAATGGCGATAAATCTTAAACAAGTAGTAACATTAATGTTACAGTCAACAAATATTACTAAAAATAGATGTTAATCAATATCCCATTTAACATACGATTTCAGAACAGTGATTGTGATTCAGAAACAGTCGAGTAAGGCATTCAATTCATCGGAAAAATGGACGAATAAGGCCACTACATAAAAGAAACTTAAAGAAATGAAAATGGAGGGCAAACGTATAATAGCCATTGAGATTGCATGTAGGCAATAACAATTTAGCAAAAAAATATAAGTCACTTGTCATGGCAGAATGGCCCATTAATACTGGCGCTGTCTGAAGTGGTCTTTGAAACATTTAATGGATTGTACCCAATATGATTTAATACTAACGACAATTCGGTCTATGTCATGATTGCTATCAGAAACTGCAATTCAAGGCCAATGTGTATAGATCGCAGATCTGACACCGTTGGCCGACTGCCAATTTGCCTAGACTAGCTGAACTTAGTCAAAGTTAGAGACTTGAATAAGCAAGGGTTGATACGAGGCTAAGCCATCATCCTGCTAATAAGAGCATATTGATCGTCGTCGGATTCGTAAGACCTTGCATTAACATCCTTGTTGTTTACAATTATTTTTGCTCTGTTAAATGAACGTAAACCCAAAATTCGTACGGTTGATTATGCTAATAACGTGGAAGAACGAACGCGTTGCGTTATTAGATACGGCAAAAGATAAAACGTATGTATTGACACATTTGTAAAGTTTTCATCTCATTACACGGTCTGTAAGTTGTACAAATGCGCTACGGGGGCAAGAAGTAGGGTATTATGTTCCAATGTCAGAGGAATTGTTGGCGCGTTTGGACGAGCGCCAACAGAAAGGACATCTATGGTACTTAACTGCCAGAGGGAAATTGTATGATATTTCGCTGATATGGAATATCTTTATTTAGCTCTGAAGCCAGTTACAGTTATATTCCGAGGGACTACAAAGAGCTGGTAAATCCCCTGCAACATGAGGTGTCGCAGTGCGAATTACTGCAGATACAGGACTACACAAGTACAAAAATCAATAAATAAATTGTTACTTTGACCTCACGGAACACCTTTCCTATTATTATTGGAACAGTGAACCATTGACATCTGTTTAATAATGATTAAAGCAAGCAGTAATATTTCATCGCGATCCTGTCGAAACGAATCATATTTATGGGACTCTATATTTTATTTCGGCCAATAAATATCCTGTGTAATCAGAGGCAGCTGGAGCAGCACTGATAACCCTCTTTAAAATCGTTCTTATAATTAAAACATATCATAAACATTACATATATACGTGTTAAATGTTCTAAGCCGAGTGTTTATCATACTGGCGCTTTTTCGCGTCGGTCCTGGGCGTTGCTGACGTCAAACCTCTGTCAACATTAACTGGGTCAGTAAACAAGGATGAATTACATTCGGAGCAGCCGAAATCATTTCATTATACTATTGAACGCCGCCGGTGTTATTGAACGACGATGTATTAATGACAAAGTTAGCGTAGTCGGAGAGGTCGCAAACTCCTGTGAGCATCGATTTTCTCCTATCTCCTTTGGTCGATACTGAAATGCTACTAACTTACAGTAGTCCGTTTTAAGCTTTAAATTATTTTTTCCTGCGTTTTATTTGATTAAACCAGATGGGTCCACTTCTTGACAAGCCCGCTTCTTTTTAAGGTGTTGGAGAGGCGAAGGTGATCGATATAGTATGCAGTAAGGTGTCTGATGAAGTCCTTGTACTGATTGCAGGC